AGCTCCGGTCTTCTGAGGTTATCTCAAAAGATGAACCCCACTTCACAACTGCACTGCAAGCTAAAATTAGTTTGGCTATTCTGTTTTAAAACTTTTTACGCCGGTACAGAAAACATGAAAAGCCACTAACATATACTGGATGCACTGTCCCCATAACAATCTCTATTATGTGGTTTTATGCTAGAATGTACAGTAAGTCCAACAGGACTTAATGGACAATAAAAATGAAGCAGTCCATCCTTCTGTTTCCCCTTGTTCATCCATATTTAATGACTCATCTTATTCTTCCTGTCCTTTTGTTCCTGTGTGTAGGCAATCAATGACGCCGATACGGGAAGACATCTCTGGCACTTTCCCTAACAAAGTTACACAGTGTTTTACCAGGAAAATCAAAACTTAAATGACAGATGCAAGTGAGAACAAGGAATGAAGGGTGATAAAAATAAGATGAAAACACAAAATGAACTGTTTTGGTATTAGTGCAAATTCAGTTTAAAGACATGGAAATTACTCAGGTGTATTGTGTTTTGTGTATTGTATTTTATGATTAAACACCATACATCTTGTCCCCTATGTGTAAAATGGGTTTACCAAGGAGTCTTCTCAAAATCAAATGCATCACACCACGACCAGGTGATGTAAACTTGACTCTGAAAGCCCACTGTCACTGCCCACTACAGCTACTGCATCTTCTCCCTGGATAAACTGCTACCATGCTATTACTGGAACAGATAACGTCTGTATATGGTTCAGACATTATACCTTGCACATCTGATTTACTGGCACAATAACTGAGACGTGATGACTGGAGGCAGTTTCGCTGCCATTGAGCCTGCTGCACAGTCAGTCAGCTGTCCTCCCTCAGGGGAATGCTGCTGTAGTGTGCTCCAGCAGGCAGCCTATCTATTGCTACACACTCAAACATTAATTTGCAAGACGGTTGATTTATCAAACTATTCTTGATTGCTGTTGAGAATAATGTGAATCTATTGTGTTGGAAAAGAGCAAATCTGCTTTTCAATTAAGACGAGAATGAATCGAATTAACACTGATTATGGTAGTTTGCTGTTGAGTAATCAGCCATGAAGATGATTCAATTTGGATCAATTCCAAAAACAAAAAAAGCAGATAAAAGAAACACCAATACTTGAATGTCCACGGATCAAAAGTGAGATCTCAAACCTGCAAAGTTGAAAAATTATCATTTATTTGTCAGATAGCAGTTGCACTGCGACTGCCCGGGAAATGTTACTGGAAATGATATGATTGGATTTACCATGAAACACATGATAATGACTGCAGTTATTTCTCTTTAGCTCTGACGTACAGTATGTTTACCAAGAGCAAAGAAGTGGCAATCTATCATTACTGATGACAAACCCAGCTAAATGAGTGATTATAATTTAAACTGCGCTGCCACAATTAATCAGACTGTATGTTGGTGATGAGACGACGACCTGACTTGCGGAGAAAGGAAAAGATCTGCAGAAGATGCTTAATGTTGTGGCTGAATGGTGCTGGTGGCATGTAGTTTCTTTTAATCAGTGTTACATTCATGATGCTCGGCGTAAATTGTTCCTTGTGTATGTAGAAAGATGGTCTGTTCAAGTTTTGAATTTGAATATGAAAAGATGAAGAACAATTACAGTGTACATATGTAGAGTAGAGTTTAAATGTCAAAGATCTGTGTGCACACAGTGATATTACCATAAGCTATAGATGTGAATTTCATGTTTTATTGTTCAATATAGGATGATTTAAAGGTGCAAGAGGTAACTTTCTTTAAAAATAATTTTTGTCACATTTGCTGAAACTGCTGCTGTATCCTGGCTTATGTACATGAGACTAAATTAAGTTTTATACCTAAATTCGGGAACAAGACCACGCCTTGAACACATCCCATTTCCATTCAATAAGTATTTAAGCACACCTCATCTGTTTCCTACTCCTCTGACTCAGTTTCCACATCTCTCCCCCCCAAACCCCCTTTCTTTTTTGTTTCCTTTTCTCTCTTTTGTGTTATTACAGGAACCGGGGGCTATAGAGATTGAAGAGACGGCTCCCCCACCCAGAGTCTCAACTTCCTGGTTCCGACCACCAAGCATCCGTCCATCCATCCGTCCATCCACCCATAACCCTCTTTCCTCCTCCCATACCTTCACCCCTTCTCCCCCTCATCCCTCCTTCCCTCAACCCTCATCCCTTCATCCCTCAAACCTCATCCCATTATCCCTTCATCCTCATCCCCTCATCCCTTCATCCCTCGACCCTCATCTCTCATCCCTTCATCCTCATCCCCTCATCCCTTCATCCCTCGACCCTCATCTCTTATCCCTTCATCCCTCGACCCTCATCCCTTCATTCCTCAACCCCTCGTCCCTTCATCCCTCTTCCCTCTCCTCCTCAGTCATGACTACTCATCATCCATAACATGTAATAAATCACTCTGAAAATACTATTGGTGTGGTCTTGTTAGTGAATCTGAGAAAAAAATCAGCTGCTAGTGCTCATGACGGATGTTGCAAGAATCCACCACGCCAACCAGTCAGAGCCAGGAAGAGTTTCTAACATGTGTCAATCACTGCTCTTGCACACGCTGCTCTTGCGCACAACAGCCTATGTGGCAAAGACAAATGAACAGAAGACTATAAACAAAGTAAAAGCTAAAAGCTACAAACAGCAGGCTAAAAAGTAACAGCTTAAACAAGAACAAACACCCGAGCAATGGGTTCTTGCAAATGCCATTAGACACACTAGAAGGAGCCAGAAGAACCTGCCTTTTTTCAGATTACCTGTCTCATGTACTGCTGTCAGGATGTAGTGACAGCTTCGGCAAATAGTTACAAAAAGTTATTTTTTATGTAAGTTACCTACTGAACCTGAAGAGCTGTACTTTTAAATAAAATGTCCTTAACTTCTTATGAGTTCTTCTGGTGAGATGATTATTAAAAACCTGAGCTGGTTTTTAAAAGGAAACCTTTTTGTGTCATTTGTCAAGTTTGTACAGAAGCAACCCGGTCTCACTCTGAAATCACTGAAATCCGGTGCATGAGCAGTTACTTGCAGTGTCAGACACTGACAAAAAGTCGTCCTTTAACGTCGGGATGATACATGGCCAGTCGCTGTTATACTTTAACAGCACTTGGCAGCATCAGGAGGAAACGTGGTGCGAAAAGAATGAAAGTTAAGGCGGTGTAAGTCTGCGTAGGGCACGTGGAAGGGATGATGGATGGGTCCAACAAACACCAACCTTCACCCTGGAGAGCGGTGCTCACGTCCTGTATGATAATAAAGCCAAACTCTGTTGTTTTTTCCTAAACCTAACCACATGTTTTTGCTGCCTAAACCCAACCACGTGCGTTAGGTGTTGGAGGAAAAAAAAAAAAAACGTCAATTTGCATTTACCAACATAGTGCATTTATTTTTAAAGAGACTGTACGTAAACAGTAAATTTCCTGTGAAAACAGAAGTGTATTTTGAAAGAAGACAATGCATGTAACAGGGAGAACTTGACATGGCATCCCAGAATGTCAACATCTAACACATCCAGGGTACCTTTCACGTTGTATCTGGATGTGGAAGATCCATGACCAAACATCGATATGCAACAAGGTCGGAGTGAGAATGCGTTGACAACAAAGCCATTTGTTTGCAATGCAATGTTACTTGCAAAAAGTCATGTGCTTGTTTGAGTTTTTCACAGCTGCAACACTGCTTCTGGTGTCTTATGTGATTATACTTGTAAGTTTTGACACAATAAAGAACATACCTAACTAGCTGATCACAGTATGCATTGGATGAAACTGTTGCTATGCCTCACAATTATGCAAGCAGAATTAACTCAGCTACCATGTGTCAGACTGAATGTGAAAGCAGGCACTGAAGAAAACCAGAGATAAGGCTCTTCAAAGTTGTTTCCTGGCTTGGGTTCTCCCCATTTAAATACAGAAGTTACTCCAGCCAGAAGAGCCCAAGTTGCATGAGGTGCCCAAAAAGCCCCCATTTCCTTGCAATCCAGACAGTGTTTTTTTTCCCTCTCTCTCTCTCCCTCTCTCTCTATTGGCCACTCATATAGCTGTTAGCCTTACGCTTGCACAACCCCATAAACCACACCCATGAAGAATAAAAGGGTGTGGGTTGCAACCCCCACCAGCCATTGGACCTAAACACTGGCCAACAAAGCATAACTTTCATCCATTTAAAAAAAGACAGAGCACCACAATGGAAGGAGGCCAGAACCGTGATGTGGCTCCATCCTACCTAGGATGGTCCATCTTTAACACTTTGTGCTGTTGTCTGCCTTTAGGGATTGCTGCTATCATCTGCTCCTGTAAGGTGGGTAACCTTTCCTGAGCATCAAACGTTTTTCACTCTTCACCTTCTAAGAAATGTGCAAATATCAAAAACTACACAAAGTATTGTTAGTGTTTTGCAGTGTTTTTGCATGAACTTTAATGTTGGAGGCATTAGGAGGCTGCTTCATTGTGACTGAATATTGGCTGACTTGTGCTCATTATGTAACCAGTCAGATTAATTTCGCATGTATATGGTGAAACTGTACAGTATGTTCCTGCTCAGATGCACAAGATTCAATTAATCTCCTTTTCAGTGTGTTTTTTTCTTTCTTTCTCAGTCAAACACCTTTTTTCTAGCAAATTAATTTTGCTGCTTGCTTCTTAAAGGCACAGAATGCCAATGCTCTTGGAGACTCAGCTCGAGCTGCGGAGGCATCAAGGACAGCCAAGACCCTAAATATCATTGGACTTGTCTGTGGAATAATTTTGATCATCATATTCATCGCTCTCAAAGCCACTCAGAAGCAGTGAAGACAACACTGACGGTGCCAGTATTTGCCCGGAGACGTGTTGGAGTCTCAGCAAAGCTTTTGTCATGCTATAGACTTCCCCTCCTCCCCACACAGGACCACTAAATACAAACAGATGTCTCTATATGTGTGCACACACAGGTTGCACACATGTTTGTCTTTGTATATCTTTTAACCAGGCGCCTATATAAGCGTCCCAGGAATGCCATTATAATACACAGCTTGTGATGGTAAAAGCCAAAAACATGTATGATTTGTATAAGAAGAAATGTTGTGTTGTTTAAAACAAAAAAATAATAAACAGTGCAACATGAATGTTTTTGTGATCAGTGATTACCGGGATTGAAGTAAGGTCAGAGATAATGATATGGTAAGAGACAAAGCAAAGTAACTTTTCATAATGAGACACACCCATTTCTTAAAATCATCTAAAAATGCTGTTAATTGCCATTTTTGTCTCACAATTACATTTACTTTATCCTACTTCTTTTTGAAACTCTTCATTTAAAGTATTTTTAGATGTTTAGACCAATACTTTATCATATTTCAATAACACCACTCAGTTTAAAGGTATAAGACCTGAGCTGTTGTTTTTTTTTATTTGGATCAAAGTTACATCATTGAAAATTTATCCTACCTCAATATAAACGACAGCAAAGCATTAAAGCCTCACCCTTTGACTCAGAATTTATTAAAGTAATTTAGTAAGATGATCCTAGTATATTTGACGAAACTGTGCCAATTGTGAAATGGTTAAAGGTAACGTTGACAGTGGAACATGAGGAGTAGGTTAAGGGTTTGATTTATGGATCACATTAAGATTAAAGTAATGGTTACTCACTGAAATCCAAAACAATGAAAAACAGAGTGAGTACGTACAGCCTTCTGTATACATTATCCTTCAGTTCATTGCCTTGCCTTGCCATAGCTGTCATTTCCACTCTGATTGCAGGACTTCTTTGAACTGATATCATCTTATCAAAACAGGCAATATAAAAATAGTAAACAAATTACATTAGAGCGTAAAGGTTTCTCTGCGGCTTCTGTGGGACAAACTGTTTTGCATTAATTGCATTTTTGCAGTCAATGCACTATATGCTCTGTAATGTATCAAAATGTCTTAGGACAAAGAGGGAGTTACTGAGGGCGAGACAAGGCGTCTTGTGGAAAACAAGTTCTTATCGCACAGAGCTTACAGTGGTATGCTTATTCCCTGGAAGAAAAGAAGTTCCTGTTACCAAAAGAAAGGGATGTTGATTCTGTCTTCCGGGAGATAATTTCCTCTGCAAAGCATCTGCCCATCCTTCACCCTTGTTTGTCTCTCTGGATTAAACGCCTGCATTTTCTCAGCCTCACAGAGAAACTGTAGTTCATCTATGACGTTTGCTCCTCCCATGCTTCTTGCAATAAAGAACTGGTTCTATGTTGGGTGTGTTTTTTCTCTTTCAAATAGAAGAATTTCCCTTACGCTTCAGAGCTCTTCTCCTTTAAAAGTCCCTCAAGATGGGAGAGTAGAGATGTTTCCCTGTGCTTCCTCTGAAGTTCCTCAACGTCCTGTTCCCATAATCACAAACAGACACACAACAAGAGACGTCCAAGACAGCTGTGGTTACTCTCCCACACACAGAAAGTATCCTTGCACAACACCGTCAGACTAATAAATGAAAGATCAATCATGCTTCTATCTGAACAATCTGCAGCAAATGATCACAGTTAGAGGAAATATTCTGCTCTTACGTCTTCAGACAGCAATCCTCTGCTTGGTTTGTGCAACCTATAAAGCAGGGAGGCAGCATGAGGGTCAGAAAGAGTCCCCTTTAGGACTCCTGAAGGGGCCTCTTGGTCCTTAAGCCACACGCACACATTGGCTTCCTGTCCAGATGACGGCATACCCAGTCTGGCTTGAAACAGCTCCCCCAGACATGCCTGCAGTATCTATGAAATACAATTAAACAGAATGCAAAATTCAAATTAATGTCACACATGGGAAAGACATTGAACAGTACACCCATTAAGAAACAGCCAGATTATCAACATCAGCCTTATTTGAAGCTATATTTGAAATCAAAAAAGTACTGTCAGAGGTTAAACAGTTTCCCACACTGTTAACATTTAATGCACACTTTGAATTGTTTGTCTGTACCTTGAAAAAAAGCCTCTGGAAGGCAGGACCAGAGTCAGAGCTCATGTCTTTCATCTTAACATGGGACAGACAGTGAAGCAGCAGCAGAGAGAAACCTCCAACTGACTGGAGCCTCTGGCGACGGACAAAGAGTGCCTCTTCTGCCTCCTGTCAACAGAGGAGTCGTTCACATGCATCCAAGAGTTATAGTCAAGAACACATTGCATTGCAATCCATTTACAACACGGAATTAAAGCATTTGGCTGGCATTAAAGTTTTATGATTAAATGGAACACACAAATGACAAATGGCATTAACAGCCATTAACGGAGCGAGAAGGGGAAGTGCCTTCTTCACCAATACACACGTCTTTAAATTAGCACTTAGACTGTAACATTTCCTATAAATGCTGTAAATTCTAGATGGCAGCTGGAGTTGTTTGGCTTTGCATTAAAGTTTCATGATTACATAGAATGTATCAACCAGGAATGCAACAAATGGCTGATAAGATGACAAGAAGAGGGAGAGCCTACTTCACCAATACAAATGTCTCTAACGTGTGCTGGAATTCTTGTTTGCACGTAACAAGGGTAGCTGTAATGACTCCTATTAAACACACTAAATTCTAGATGGCAGCTGGAGTTGTGTGTTGTGCAAATGAAACCCGCATAGACAGGATACACTTCAGATATTGCAAACTGTTAATGTAGAGCCTGTGGTTGCAAGGTCATGGCATTGAATGGCTGCCCCAGTCTGCAGCTGTGCAGACTCTAATAGAATCTGAAACCTGCCGCAGAAACAAACTCTACAACCCTGAGCACAGACAGGAACCTAAAGGCTGTGGAATTGCTGTTTATTTACTGATTTGAGGGGTCTTTCAGTCTGACCCATCTCCTCTGTCAGAGTTGTGTGAATAGAGACAGAGTCTTGTGTGTTCAGAGATCAGCAGGGCTGAACAGGATGTTCTATAAAGACTTTCACTGTTGGGACTGCACGCTGAATTGCCCCTTCAGCAAAGTGAGGGTTCCGAAAAGATGTAGTAGCAGCAGAAAGCCACAGCAAGCTGCTGTTGTGGTGTCGTCTGAGCTGTTTTCAGGTACTGGGAAAGTCTGATCAGAATGCAAATGAAGGTGCTGCTGGCTTGTTTCACTTTTCTTCATTTTCTACTGTGTTTAATGCAATTCCCTCATTTTTCGTTGTTATTGCCACAGAAAGTGTCATTTACAATTGTCAAGATAGTATATACAGTGATGGAAGAAGTGTTCAGATGATTTACTTCAGTAAAAGTAGCGGAACAAAAAATAAAAATACTCCATTACAACAAAAAGTCCTGCACTCAGAATGGTACTTAAGGTAAAATAAGGCCTAAAAAAGGAAAGGAAAATAATCAATATATTTTCTGTGTATGTTTTTGTCTCATTTTATACCTGCCCTTTCTAAATAAAAATAAAATTAAAAAAAAAAAAAAAGTTAAAGTAAGGAAGTATTAAAATTAAATTAACCTATAGTATAAAATGTTATGGTACTTATCATAAAGCAGACATTATAATGATAAAATATATATGCTTTAACATAATATTGAATTATGATCACTGATCCATGTACCATGGTCAAGACAAAGCTTATTTTACCATTTTACCTTCTGTTCAGTGGTTAAATCATTTTATAAGCTGATGCTACAGTGTGTAGTATACATGAAACAATAATTTGTAAGGTAACCTACATCTGTCAGATAAATGTAGTGGAGTAAAAGTACATTATTATTGTCATTTTAGGTCTTATCACACTGCTGTATGTTCACATGTTCGCTCATTTGATGCAATAAGAAGGAGACTTGATTGACAGCTATGTGTGCCAATTGGTGTGCTCGCTAACAATGGTGCTGCTTGCCATTGGTCAGACGAGTGTATGGGCGGGAACTTGACACCACGGATATTGCTGCTGCATTCCAAGCACGTTTCTGAGCGTGTAAGTCACCACTTGAAGTCACCCTAATGCGTCAACATTAGGGTTATTTTTTGTCTATTTCTCACCGTGTTTCACCTGCATCAACACTGTATCTATGGGGCTGCCATTGTTGTTTAGAGGAGTAAGGTAATTGGTTTAGAAGGCTGTGTGACATCAGAGAGCGTAACTGGGAGTACATCGATCTGGTACGAGTTCAGGGGTTGTAAGTTGTGGGTTTGACTGCCGTTCCAGTGCACTTTCACGGGTAGAAGGTTGTAAAAACACAAGTTACTGGTTGCCTGGAACGCGCCATGCTACTGCGCAAACTCTGGCTCCAAATGACATCACCAGCACAAGATGGCAGCAGCATTATCATGGATATTTTGGCTTCAATTTTGTACAGTGGGGGTGAATGGAGACACGTCAACCATCTTTTTATACAGTCTATGCTTAAGAGGTAAGAAAAAAACAACAACTACTAGAATTCACTGCGCCACACTAGACCAAAAAAACACCCACTGGTGAGTAATGTAATGCGAGTTTAGAGATTTTTTCCACAGGAAACAATATGGCGGCGATCTTGAATTATAGACAGTGAATTAAAATGTGTTTATTTTATCAGCACTGCTTAATTTTACTGTTTGATCTCATCTTTCAGGCTTCATTTTTACAATACAGGAAACAGTAGGGTGCCTGCTTCTTAGTGCAATAAAATATATTTTTGAAGACAAATTAAGGCGAAAAATGGGCAAAACATTAACAGAATCTTGGTTTATGTTTGACCAGTGCTGCCTAGTCTTCCCGTTTGATCTGAGTTTGGTTTGAATTTAAAAACAAGAAAGAGATGGTAAGCTTTTTCTTACAGTCTGCTTCTATACTCTTTGCATCAGTGGTGGGAAGCATACGAAAAAGCAGAAGTACAACCTATATTTATAGCAACAACCCTGGAGCCAGCAAAAATTTAAGCTGAGGTGAGCAGGGAGATCTTAGTTCTGGTAGGATGATGGGAAATTTACCAAAGTTAATTTACACATACTTCCCACATTGTTATGACACATAGAAAATAATGTGACTGAGTAAATGTACAGTACAGGCCAAAAGTTTGGACACACCTTCTCATTCAATGCGTTTTCTTTATTTTCATGACTATTTACATTGTAGATTCTCACTGAAGGCATCAAAACTATGAATGAACACGTGGAGTTATGTACTTAACAAAAAAAGGTGAAATAACTGAAAACATGTTTTATATTCTAGTTTCTTCAAAATAGCCACCCTTTGCTCTGATTACTGCTTTGCACACTCTTGGCATTCTCTCCATGAGCTTCAAGAGGTAGTCACCTGAAATGGTTTCCACTTCACAGGTGTGCCTTATCAGGGTTAATTAGTGGAATTTCTTGCTTTATCAATGGGGTTGGGACCATCAGTTGTGTTGTGCAGAAGTCAGGTTAATACACAGCCGACAGCCCTATTGGACAACTGTTAAAATTCATATTATGGCAAGAACCAATCAGCTAACTAAAGAAAAACGAGTGGCCATCATTACTTTAAGAAATGAAGGTCAGTCAGTCCGGAAAATTGCAAAAACTTTAAATGTGTCCCCAAGTGAAGTCGCAAAAACCATCAAGCGCTACAACCAAACTGGCACACATGAGGACCGACCCAGGAAAGGAAGACCAAGAGTCACCTCTGCTTCTGAGGATAAGTTCATCCGAGTCACCAGCCTCAGAAATGGCAAGTTAACAGCAGCTCAGATCAGAGACCAGATGAATGCCACACAGAGTTCTAGCAGCAGACCCATCTCTAGAACAACTGTTAAGAGGAGACTGCGCCAATCAGGCCTTCATGGTCAAATAGCTGCTAGGAAACCACTGCTAAGGAGAGGCAACAAGCAGAAGAGATTTGTTTGGGCCAAGAAACACAAGGAATGGACATTAGACCAGTGGAAATCTGTGCTTTGGTCTGATGAGTCCAAATTTGAGATCTTTGGTTCCAACCGCCGTGTCTTTGTGAGACGCAGAAAAGGTGAACGGATGGATTCCACATGCCTGGTTCCCACTGTGAAGCATGGAGGAGGAGGTGTGATGGTGTGGGGGTGTTTTGCTGGTGACACTGTTGGGGATTTATTCAAAATTGAAGGCACACTGAACCAGCATGGCTACCACAGCATCCTGCAGCGACATGCCATCCCATCCGGTTTGCGTTTAGTTAGACGATCATTTATTTTTCAACAGGACAATGACCCCAAACACACCTCCAGGCTGTGTAAGGGCTATTTGACCAAGAAGGAGAGTGATGGAGTGCTGCGGCAGATGACCTGGCCTCCACAGTCACCGGACCTGAACCCAATCGAGATGGTTTGGGGTGAGCTGGACCGCAGAGTGAAGGCAAAGGGGCCAACAAGTGCTAAACACCTCTGGGAACTCCTTCAAGACTGTTGGAAAACCATTTCAGGTGACTACCTCTTGAAGCTCATGGAGAGAATGCCAAGAGTGTGCAAAGCAGTAATCAGAGCAAAGGGTGGCTATTTTGAAGAAACTAGAATATAAAACATGTTTTCAGTTATTTCACCTTTTTTTGTTAAGTACATAACTCCATATGTGTTCATTCATAGTTTTGATGCCTTCAGTGAGAATCTACAATGTAAATAGTCATGAAAATAAAGAAAACGCATTGAATGAGAAGGTGTGTCCAAACTTTTGGCCTGTACTGTATGTCGTTACTTCCCACCACTGACAGTTTCATAGTTATTAGGGGTCTGTTACCCACAACTCAACTTTCAAAAGCTAAGGGTTTTTTCTGATGTTGGATGGTGTTGAATAGATTAATATTCATATTCACCAACTTCAATGTTGCCTCTCAACATTCTCTCCAGTGAGGCTATGAACTAGTCACCCAACTATATGGCTACAAATACCACAGATATTTATTATTTTTAGATTTTTTTCCTTTTATTTCTATGACTATGACAGGGCGAAATCCAAGCATGTCAGCATCTGCATGCCATACTGGGTTTGTTTGTTTTCTAATGCACAATACCATTTCAGCAGAGAAAGGGAAAACCACAAAATCACAAAGGCCCTCCAGAGCTGTACTGGAGAATATTACTAACATGCGTTATAATGGAGCCAGAGGTTCCATACAAACAATAGTGTTAGCCAAGAACACAGTGTTCTCTATATGGACTTCAGTAGGAGGGGCAAATCTGATGTAAATCCTGGGATTTGATTCCAGCACTGCTCCACACAACTTTTACAGAGTTGTTTCAGTTTGTTTCACTTGGACAGATTCTTTGTTGGAGCACTGTTAAAGATCTGCACGTTTACAGTGCAAATATTCTCGATGCTTGAGAGAATGATCTTCAGGAATCCTGCAGCTTCAGCGAGTGAAATGCCTCGATGCTTGAGATTGACACTGAGCAGAGCAGACACTCTGTAGTATTATTCCCCTTCACACAATCACATGAAGTACAGCCAGGCAATAAGTCATCTTTTAAAAAACAGTGATAAGTATTTTACATCCATCTCGAAGGTATTTTGAGGGTTTCATTTCAAGTGCATCATCTATTTATTGGTCACGTTTTGGGGTGCTTTGCTTGAGACTCTATTGGTTGATACTTTGTTGATGCAAGCTATGCCACACACAATACATACAGAAAAACACAAAGAAAATCACTTTCACAGAAAAAAAGATTTAAGATTACCTGATAAAAGAAGGAGTTTCTGAAGGCGTTGTTGAAATAGTTGTTGTTTGGGAGACTAGCTGCTATCTGAAGTGAAATGGCTGGAGTCTGTTGAAAAAGAGAACAACAACCCAATCGTTTGTTATTTTGATATTCTTACTGAGGCTCAGTCCACAGTAAAAATGGAAAAAAATATGCATGCAATGAATGAATAAATACATGTGTGACAGGAAACAGCATCAAGAAAACACAATATGAAGAATAAAAGTGAAATAAAGATGAGATATTATGGACGCAATCAGCCTGAATTCTTAAGGAAGGTCAGTGTAAAGCCCCTGAGCCCTCACACCAAAAGCCAAGTCACCTTTGGTCTTTAACTGGGATACAGAGATAGAAGGTTTCCTGCCTGAGTACTTCAGGCCACACTAAGGCTCATAAGAAATTAAAATTTTAAAAATAGCTCAGGGCCAGACTACTCACAGCCTCAAAATTAAAGAGTAAAAGCAGTTTAAAAATGAATAGGCAACTAGGTTGAAAGTAAGAGTGAAACTGCAGCACTAACCAGTTTTAGATTATGCAATGTGTGTATCAGGTACAGTCCGTGCTGGTAGACCAGGAACTCTCTGGGGTTAAGCACCGACAGGTCCAAAGGGATCAGCTCTCCCTCACATTCCCACTGAGCATCGAGGACGTCTATGAAACTCTTGCCTCTGTCTGGACAAAATATTTGGCAAAAGAGTGTTTCAAGTAGAAGCAAAGCGTTACTGTCACCTTTTTATGCCCACCTGAGTTTGCAGCTTAACTGTTTTCTTTCAACAAATGACCTGTAAACGGTTACTCTGCAAGACAGAGTGACGAAACATAAAAGGTAAGATTCGGAGGTTTTTAAACATACAAACACAAATCTTTAAAATCTCGTTTTGTGAGAGCTTAGAGATTTCTGGGTTTGATATGCTTTCAGATTTTTCTGGTTGTTGGCCTGGTCCAAAAATCACACATCTGCTTAAGAACTGATAAATGCTTGGAAGTAATATCTTTACTTGGCACACATTGGCACTGAAGTAAACATAAAGTTCAACTGAATGGCCTAGTTTCACATGTGTTGATTATAAACCAAAATATTGGACACATTAAAATTTGATGATGATCCTGATGATGACCAAGATGAATAGTCGGGGGATCATCAAAGATATTACAATTAATCCTGTGGGAACATGAATGTTTGTATCAAATTTTATCAAAAACTTGAAAATCCATTGAAAACTTTGCAAGACATTTCACTTAAAACCACAAAAGTGAACTATATAGTGGTGTTAGAGTAAAAATCAAGTGATCACCAAAGTCAAAAGGATTCATCGTCTAAGGGCCTGCACAAATTTGGAAAAAACTTTTGTTCATTGTATACACATATGAGGAGGCAGGTGCATGATGTTTGGCTTAGATTCTTTCTCATGAGTAGGTTTGTGTGGACATTGTAGTGGTTGTATTTGAGTGGGAGACTGTTGATGCAGAGATGCAAGTTAGCTCTGTGGGCCGGATGTTGGTTAAAGTGGAGGGTTTTACCTTCGTCATTTCTCAGCACAGAAAATAATGTGCTAGAAATTCTGTGACCACATTCCCTCACCTGCTGTTGTGTCCCCTCCTCTGCAGGGTTTCCAAACCACCAACAACAACTCTGAGTTTCTCAGTATAGTGTTGTATAGACTCACACTTTTCCATTTACTCCCCTACTGACAGTTTCTGAACTGATGGAAAAACTCTTTTGTTGATGAAGAGAATGTTAACAGCCATAAACTTGAGGGGGGGATAATATGAAAAGAATGAAAAAAGAAAGAAAGAGAGAAAGAAAAGAAAGACAGAAAAACATACCTACAATGTAATTATAATGCAATCTCTGGTTGAGCCCTAAGGACAAAGAGGTGCCAGGGTGGATCTTGTCAGGAGCTCTTTTCCCTTTCTCCTCTTCCTCAATGTCTTTACTCTCGCCTTTAAGGTCGCAACCAGACCCGTAGAAGGTGGCTGGCCTGTTGCAGGTCAGATCCCCTCTAGAGCAGCCCTTGCCCCCTACAGGAGGAGTCTGTTCAACAGGGTCTGGGGAGCAGCTTTCTGGAGAGGGGCATAGTGGGGATCAGGTCCTCTGACTACAAGCCATCCCAAACTAGTCCCCATTTACCGGGGCCTAGTCTAAGGTGGTCCCATCTTTCAGATAATAAAGAGATCACGAATAGTGTGTTGTTGAGTGTGGAGGTTCAGTAGAGGTTAATGGTATGTCTGTGTATGGCCTAAACATAAAAATGCCATCATGAGAGGAGAGATGAGAAGAATGAAGGTGAAAGAAGGTCTCATGGCAAACCATCCAATATTGGTTGAGATATTTCAGTCTGGGCCAAAGTGGTGGACAGACAGATGTACACTGCGATCCCTAGAGTCATGCCACCACTAGGTCTAATAAAAACACACTATTTCTTTGGAGTTACACCAAGATCTATTTTTACTACATCGTGTAACAGCGCCTCAGTAAAACAGAGCTGAATAAATTAAACCCTGGGTCCCTGAAGCCAAACAAGCTAATAAAAGCCTGAACACTTGATGTTCAGAAAATGACTACCATCTGGGCTTCATCAATGCTCTGGAGAGTGTAAAAATAAGACAGGTTAAACAAACATGCAGGCAGTGCCCTTTTCACAAGTGCACCATAATAGGCCTATAATGGGACCCTTATTTAGTATGCATGAATATATATATAAAAAATACTTTCAGAAAGATCAAGCCTGTATTCCAGTTTTCTCCAGGTGGGTTTGATTTAGGGAGAAAGTATCTCTCATGTTTGCGTTATGCTTGATTGTGTCAAAAGCTGCTCAAAAGATGTACATCAATGCTTATCCCAAGAGGTCTTATCGAAGGCTTTACAGCCTGCATAAGAGAAAAAGGCCAGATATTAGGCCCAGTGGACCACAAACACAGAACAAGCAAAACCCAGAAAACAAAAAAAGAAGAACAACAGCAAGCCCATGCTACCACTGAAGGTCCAGAAGAAGAGAAAGAGGACCAAAACTGGTCATTGATTGTCAGTGATCATATTATAACAAAATAAATGTTTAATCAACTGAAGTTTGATGAAAGTCAAACTATTAATGATCTTATAAAGAAATGATTATAAATAAGTACTATCATGATTATAAAGTTTACTACGAGCAAATGTGCTATGACCTTACGACATGTGTGTGTGTGTGAAATGAGTGAAAGCGGAAATGGAAGGACTGAGGGAAAGTACAAAGACTTTCATGTAGCCACAGATAGTCGTTGAAAATGGGAAGTGCCTGAATAAGCACAGATTAGTTCATGACTGAGATTGCATAGGAGCTTGACCTAATGTGCTCAACTTTTGGGAAAGGGGACGGCTTTATCATGTAACACTTGTTTGCAGCTGCGAAGATCACCCCATCTGTAGCTCCCCCGGCTTGACTCATGCATAACTATGAAAGCATGATAATAATGAAATAAAACTGATAATAAAGAAATAACACTTGGAGTATTTGTCGACCTATCAAAGGCATTTGATACTGTCAATCATGACATTTTATTCCAGAAACTTTCTCTCTATGGTTTATGCAGTTCAAATCTGTCATGGTTCAAAAGCTATTTGTCTGATAGAATGCAGTTTGTTTCTTGGAACAATACCTCATCTGATTATAAGTCGATTTCTTGTGGTGTCCCCCAAAGATCGATTTTGGGCCCGTTACTGTTTCTTATCTATGTAAATGATCTATACATGACATCATCAAAAGCATCTTTTATTCTCTTTGCAGATGACTCCACTATTTTTTATCTGGTAAGAATGGACCCACATTAATATCAGAAATGAACACTGAATTGTGCAAAGTTGACACCTGGGTCAAAGCAAACAAATTGTCACTTAATATAAAGAAAAGCTCAGTTATTTACCCCTAGAAATCAACATGTAATAAACACTCTTCCTAATGTTCATATTGACAATAACATCTTGGAAAGGGTCATTGTAACTAAACTTCTAGGTATTCTTATTGATGAAAATCTCACTTGGAAAAGTCATATTACATTCATTTCAAACAAGATTGCAAAAAATATCAGAAGAATACGTCATTTACTGTCTAGAAAAATCCTGATCAATTTATATTATACTATGATTTATCCTTTCATTTCATACTGTAATATTATGTAGGCAAGTACTTTCAAGAGCAACCTCAACTGTATCCATACCTTACAAAAACAATTTATCAAAATGGCAACATTTTCCAACAGATTCACTAGATCCACCCCATTACTTCAGTCCCTGTGCATTCTTCCCATCTTTGCTGTAAATATTTTTCAGATATGTATTTTTGTTTATCAATCCATCCACAAGTTACTTCCAATGTGTTTTCATTCTGTATTTCAGTTCAATTCCCAAATTCATTCACTTCACTTCAACACAAGGTCACAAAGCCAAGCCCTGTTCTTTTTTCCCAAACCTAACCACATGCGTTAGTTGCTGGAGGGAAAAAAAACAAACAAAAAAAACGTCAATTTGCATTGTTGTACTGACGTAGTGTGTTTATTTCTGTAGCCTATGTAAATGGTAAATTTCCTGTGAAAATGGATGTGTAGTTTGAAAGAGGACAATGCATGAAACAGGCAGAACTTGACACGGCATCCCAGAATGTCAACATCTAACACACCCAGGGTCTCTTTTACGTCGTATCTGCACGTGGAAAGTCCACTAAGGGTGCTAGTGAGAAGGCAGTGAGACAGGCTTTAGGAAGAAGACAGTTAATAGCTGGATGAATCACCTTTGCACCAGTCTATTTGATTAGAAACTTGCTGTGTATGTGAACAGGCAGGCTAATCTCATCCACTTTAATGTGAAGGCTGGTCTGGACTCTTGTACAGGAGTGCCAGGGTAACAATTGTGTATGAATAATTGATGATTATGCTGGCTACAGGTGTTGCATGTGTGCTGTGCGCACACATAAATGTGACTTTCTGTATACAGTTGGTGCCTGTAGGCCCATTACTCGGTGAAAAACCCTAACTGTATCCAACCTACCAGCAAGCTCTCCTCTAAGAAGCCCTGCCCCACAGGCCCAACCCTTTAGCTGCAGCTCCATCCTCTTCAGCAGCTGGAAGAGAGGCGAGAGTTCCAGCAGCTTGGCCCATTCCTCTTCTGGGGAATCAAAGCAACATGGATGGACAATGTTAATGTGTCACACCACATGTTACACATTTAAACTATGTATTATTTTACATCATGATGTCACCTGGAATCGTGGGGACTGTGATACCGTGTGTCGGCTGAGCAGACTCTTTCATCGGCTGGCTCTCTGTTAGGAAATCAAGATTAAAATGATTGATTATTTAATTATTGATTATTAATTCTTTGAGAAGGTTAGCATAGTTTAACACAATTACCATAAAAGAGGAAAACCATAGCCTGACTCTTTCCAACAACAAAAGTCACCTACCAGCATATCTAAAGCATGCAAATCAAGACAATATACAGCAGTGTTTTTGCAGGTTTTAAATTTTTTTTTTAAGAAAACTGTTTGTTCACATTATTGTTTTAAATACAACCCCAGCTGCCATATCCCTCGGGACTCCACCATCATTTCCTTCATACTTCATACTTCCAATAACCCCTCCAGTCAAACTTCCTTCCAACATCTCCCACCCATGAGACCTTGCATGCAAGGAAGTGAGCTGCAAAACAAAGAGCACAACATGAGCAGAGGACACGAAATGAAATGAAATGAATAAATGAGTTAAGGAAAAAAAATGGCAGCGTAGGGAGCCTTTTAAGGAAAATCTAATTTTCTCATGCTTGACGCAATGCAGGACCTCCACAATGCATCTACTATTGCTGCGAGGGAAAACATGTTTCCATTTCGGGAGGATAAGGCATCTGGCTATCAGTGTAGTGAAAGCGATGACCCTATGCATGGCTACAGGAAGGCTGTCCTCCTGCCAGTTCTAAATATAGCTGTCGGGTGGTAAGGGTCCAGAGGTATATGGATTACGGTTTGATAAGTTTGGAATATATCTGTTCAACTCTCAGTTAACTCAAGGCAGGACCAAAGCACATGAATAAGATTGGCAGGTAACTGTTTAAATCTGTAACAGACATCGCTTCTGTTGTGAAACATATTGGCCAATGTAGCATTTGTGTAATGAATTCTGTGAAGAATCCTGCATTGCAGAACACCATGTGTTACCCAAATAGAAGAGGAATTAACCAAATGATTCTCCTCAACTTTTACCTGCCTTGTGCCCCATCTCAAAAAAAACGTGTTGCTTAGACCTAAGTAGTTGAAGTTCAGCTTTGTTTGTCAATAATAAGTCAAATTCCATATGAAGCTGCAACCATTTTTTATAGAGACTGGAGACTGGGCTGCTATGCAATCTAAAAAGTTCCTCTGTAGCCCTGGCTTTCTCAGTTTCCCTCATAAGAAAGCATTATGAAGTAGTTTGCCCTCATAAGTATGCTTTGAGAGCCTCCCAAAGGCCCCGAGAGATGTCAGGGGTATCATTAACTTTGAAAGATAAAAGATATCTGTCTTGCAAGAAACTGATTTAATGCTTCGTTAGCTCACATACCTGTGCTGAACTGCCAATGTCTGAAGGGTTTACCATATTGTCTAAAGTCTACATCGACAGAATTAGAGGCATCGTCAGAGATGAGGTGACCCCAGACAATAGTCTACTATCCAGAAGAGAGACATCAGTTTATGAATATGTATGATGAACATAGGAAAAGAAAGATTTAGTGGAGGGAAATTTGAAGCTAAGGATCAAACGAGGTCAATGTGATGTGAGTATTTATGGTCTTTGATAGTGAGAAAGGTTTTTTGGAAGATTTGTCTAAATTGTCATTTTCGATCAGATTAGAATCTTTTCAGCAATACGTAGTGGACTGTTTCTCAAGCAGGTGAGGTGACTCTCCACAGTTTCCACTGGTTTGAGTGCTTCTGGGTTTTGTTACCTCTGATCAGATTTGGACGAGCTATTCTCCCCTGTCAGTCCCAGATTTGAGAGTGATATCTATCTTCTCATCTCACTGTCAGCCATGTTCCCTCAGATCAGTACCTCCACCAGTAAGGTAATGTCTCACCCCTATTTGACTGTCTACCTGTTATCAATATTGTTAAGCACAGTATCTCAAGTAGACAGATTTTATATGGGTAACCCTAACACCTGGCTCTAACCCCTAAACCCTAACTTTAATTCAGTTATGGAAGTGCTGTCTCTGATGCTGAGAGAACATAGGGCATAATTTGGATGATAAAAAATGAGGTGGTTAGGGAACAGTAGGGAGTTACCTGAGCCTGGCAGAAAACTTGCAACAGGTATATAAACAACACTGAAGTAGAGCACAGCACAGGTCAACACGGGTCAAAGGGGTTTTACAGTCAGTAGGCTACTGCTGTATAATTCGTGCTCTGTCTCACCCTGGGAGTGAATGCCAGAGGATGTGGTGTGTCTTTGTGAGGTGTGTGTCGGTGCCGAACTGGCCTGCAAATCAGCGTCCTGGGGTTGAGCCAAATTGGCAGGCTCCCTCAAAGACTGGGTGGAGATTCCTTTAGAAACATAAACAATCACAGACCTTGGAAACCACTGCAAGCCAGAAATCAAGCCAAGATGGTCAAAGTATCTTGTCAAGCAGATGTGAGGCTTTGTTGTGCAACTTTAGTTCTCTATAGACTTCAGACATGTTTTATTAAGACAACACACTTTATGTTAGAGTGCTAGTTTTGATAGAAACATATAGTATTGATGTTCTTCCTCACTGTAAAACCCACCTGAGGGGTTTTTGTACCTGCCATAAACCATAAATATAAGGTCTTACACTTGTCAAATTCATAATCACCCGATTCCTCACTGTTCTCTTACTTCCTTCTACACTATCTCTCATCTCCAGAGACATTAAAAAAAACAGAACAACACAATGGAGCTATTGATTTCTTACTCCAGCACACATCGACAGGGTTCACTTTAATGACGCAGTGGCTGTTTTTCATCTCGCTGCTCTATCCTGTTGCATTTTGACAATGAGTATGCCTAACAATATTTCCTCGCATTCTCCCCTCGTACACTCCGTCCACACACATATACCAAAATGTTATCACAGAGCAGCTTGAGAAGCACTTACCTTTCACCACAGGCACAGAGGCTGTCCAGACTCTGGAGGCTATCTCCAGCCCATATGCCTGCTTTGTGGACAAACCTGAAACATGTCAGAAATCATTCTTAAAGGATAAACGTGCCAATAGTCTTTATTTTTCTTATTGTCAATATGACGTGATGTGACTTCAGCCAGAGGCCCTGACATGAGACATGTGAGGGGAAGTGATTGCTCCCAGAACAATTCCTGTTATCTGAATAACAGGAAACAGTAGCTCAAGTGATGGTAAATATCTACAGTGCCTACAATGATTGTTTGTCAGACGCTGTAAATTGTCATGACGCACCAATTCCTTGGCTTGCGCTTGAGATTAAAACCTCAAATGTGGAACTCTATGTTTGAGCCTCTCTTATTTTAAGAATCCCATGAAAAGAGCTGACTTGTTCCTGCAGTACCAACAAGTATTGTCTGTTTAGTCAAAGTCTGATATACGGTGGTTAATTACTCTGCGCCAAAGAGCTCCTTTGATTTTTTAAAACTATTAAAAACACATAAACAAGCCCCACTGGGTGACATAAGTCTTTACTACAGTAAACATGGGTGCTGTAGTTTGTTAAGAGTCAGTCCCACACCCACTATCCCGCTGTTGTAAATACTCACTGAAGCACTAAATGTGTATTAATACACAGCTGAAAATAGTCCCCAACAAATGTATCATTTGATCCTGTTTAATGTGATCTTTGAATCCTTTATAAAAATTAAAGTATTTTGAAAAACCATTGGGCTTGGTTTGGTCTTTTCATGGGAATTGTTGGCAATAAGAAAAATATAGACTAACACCAGCCTTATCCTTTGGCTACCATAGCAAAATGTGTGCAAAAGCACGAGGAAGGTTTGGTTGCAGCATAGCACTTTCAGAGATTGTGTATCAAAACACTTCACTTCCTCGGATCCATGACACAGAGTGAAGCAGAAAATTAGTCTGACCTCCAAAGAATGCCATTATTCAACAAGAATGTGTGCTTTCTCCAGAACTGCATGTACTAAATATCGAAATGTTTGCCTCTAGTTACATATTAGCACCCCCATCATGTAGTAAATATAGTACTCCTATCTGATACTGATTGGGTACCAGAAATGTGCTGATTGCAGGTGTTGGGGGAGAAGCTGGCAGGCTGTTTGTCTTCCAGGAGTTGGTTCAGTCTCTCTAGCAGAGGCAAAGCCATCTGCTGGAGCGAACCTACGACCTCCGCAGAAGGTCTGTGTCCACAGCACTGGAGCAGACCATATTCCTTGTACCAAAAGTTCCCACACAGTACTGCCTAGATAAACAAGAAGAGGGAGGTGGCTCAGAGTAACACAGCAAAGATAATCAAAACAAACATTTCTCAACTTCTTGATAACTCTCAGTGATTATATAATTGGGCCCAATTGGCTTTGATTGTTCATCCCAGGTTTAGATAAACAGAGTGAATGGTGTAAAAAGTCACACATACAATTCCCTGCATTACATATTTAAGTTTGTTTATATTCAGTGTTATTTATGTGGTGTGTCTGTGTGTGTTTTGACCTGAGTAGTGTCGGCATGGAGCTGCGAAAGGTGTCTGACAAAGTGCAGTGCGTTAAGAGCAGCCTCCAACTCTGTCTGTCTGGAACAACACTGCTCCCACAACTCTCTCTGTCTCAGCTCTCTGTCCTGGAGGAGGAATAAACACAGGCTTGTCTGAGAAGAAGCATGAAGTCTTATTTACATTTAGATGACAGTGTTACAGAGTGCATCTCATAGCACCGGGCTGGCGTCAAAGTTCAATTACCGGACTCTTTAGAGCTCCCTATAGTATTATGAGTCACATGCAATTGGCACTGGTGACATGAGAGGGAGCTGAACATCTGACCAAAGTGTATCAGTCATCAATTAAGCTACAGGGCCAAAAAAAAAACAAACCAGGAATGGATTACTCTAACCAGAGCATGGAGGGTTGTGGCCCAGTCTCCTCCATGTGTTGTCCATTTTTCTTTGTCTTGTTGCAGCTGCTCCATACAAACGTCCACCTTATCAAGGCCCGACACGAGCTCTGAGTGCCAGACACACTGCTGATCCCACTCCTGCTCGTCACCTAAACACACAGACAGCAATGCACAGAGCCAACCCAAATAAAATACTGAACATTCAAATTATGTTAATTACTACACAACTGAAGGGTGCGATATGAGACGCTGGCATGAAGTGTCTCTCTTTTGGCAAGTGATGAATATAACCGCAGTGCGGGTCATGAGTGTAATTTCCCTCATGCTCTTCATTCTGCCAGCTTGCCAGACAATTTACCCTGTGTGAGTATGTGTAATACATGCGGAGGCAAGATCAGAGCCAAGTGGGAGCGCTGAGCTGCTCTCCTCTGCGCCTCGGTCTGTGCTGAATCCTGCAGCTCCACGGCTGCTTCCTTCAGCTGTCTCCCTGACCACTGGACCTGCAGTAGAGTACACACCTATTCTTGGAATATGAAAAGTAGAGGCACATATTTGCATACTGAAATATGGGAAACACACATGCACACACTCACACAGCGATATAGTGACTTTGCAGTTTGCCCTAAACCGATGCATAAACTTGCAGTTCACAGCAGGATATGAAAAGCTTCTCTAGAATTACTTTCTAACGCTGTTTGCCCCAGCATTCATACATCCCTTTATTCATTTCCAAATGTTCAAAAGGCTGATCCACTTTGAATTCCCCCTCCTATACTCAGAGGCCAGGCTATAGATGATATGTACAACCAAAACAGGAAACTCCCCTCCACTGACCTGATAAGAGTTTGCTTCTGTGCCTCTAAAGAGACACTGGAATAGAGCTGAGTCCAGGTCAGAGACAATATCTTCCTCCCGCTGCCTCTGTTGCTGCCAGTAAGTGTTTCGCACACACACTTCTCTCTGTAGCGCCTCTACCTGCCAGCAACAAAAGGAAGTGCATCAGGTGTACAGATTCAATATAAATGAATTCAGTGTGCTGCAAAATAAAATGTTTAAACAAGTAAAGACTTGAATAAGTTTGATCAAGTTTGCAAACTTGAATAATCAGGTAGAAAGTTGCATGGCTTTTGTTCTCTGCGGTCACACACTTCTCTCAGTTACTTCCCCACCTGCACACTATCAGTTTGGTCTGCCATTGTTAGCCAGTAGGAAGCTGTTACAGGTACAATGGTTTTCCTGGACACATCCAGCCTGGCTCCAACCACTGTGGCCAACACACCTGTCACTGGGTCAACAGTCTGTGATCCATAACGGACGGCCACCAGGCCTGTGAAGTGCAACAGCATAGACAACGAAAATGGTACAACTTGTTTGATTCCGTACTCCTTAATAGAATTTAAAAGTGAATTCGATAAACTGTGTCGGGTGACTTGTGCAATAGCTTGAGTTTCACAGTACAGTACCTTTACCTCCAGGGTCCTCCATAGTCCCTGCCAATGGTATAATAGTCCCAGAGACAAGGTCAGTCTGATACCCCAGCACAGGTACACAGAGACCAGACCCCATAGGGTCAGGGTACTCCAGCCCCAGCAGAGCTGGCACACACATATCTGAACCTGGAAGAGGCATCTCTCCTGGTGTGAATGATACAGGAGAGGTCAGAAGGTTAGAGTGGAGGAAACAAAATACGATACAGTACTCAAATATTTATTTCCCAAAGCATTCCTGCAAGTTTGTATGGCCAACATGTTTCTAGCAAGTAAGAGAGGCACAGAGGTACATATGTAGTTCTACTTACAGTTTTTACATTAACTTTACTTTACTATAGTGCTGTTTATTTAGCTAAGATATAACAACCTCTTAACAAAAGTAACTGCAAAAATAAATACAGACAGAGCAAGGCACATGTTACAGACATGATTGTGACTTCACGGCACATCTGGCAAAGCATATTGAACACTAAAAGGAGCAAAACTAAGAAGCAGATTATCGAGCAGAGCACACATGACCACAAGAACACAGCAGCTGAAATTATGCAGAGAACAAGATAAGCCTGTCATGAAGGACAGATTGGCATCGGCCTCGAGCAGAGCGACAATGTTTCAGTGCAGACATAATTTGATTATTGATGTGTCAGGAGCTCAAACAACTAAAAAAAGACTCATAGACTCATATTAAACTAGCCAGTTTCGTGGGATGAAACAGATTTGTCAAACTCATGGTCAAACAGCATTGTGGGTAATCTGATGTACTGTATGTCATGGCAGTGTGATGAATTTAAATGTCTTTATCTTTTTGAGTTCACGGTATCTATGTTTGAAACAGAAGAAAATATGGATATGGGCTATATATAAGTGTAATATATGTGCCATTATAATAAGATTATGTGGGAGGAGCAGGCCACATGCTGAGTAACTGTGGAGGGTGGACTTATGACAACTAAAGGTCATACAAAAAGTGTTTGAGGTAAGAAAATGTCACCCTTCAGGCTCATGAAACCTTTTAAAAGTTAACATACATATGTAATTTTATGCCTAAAAGCCTTTTTGTTCTCTGTAGAAGAAGGCACGTAAGGACACCATTTTGAAAATCTAGAGTACTTTATCTAACATATTATCAATCACAACCAAAGGTATGAAAAAGAAACAGATAACCAGTACAACAAACACAAAGTAGCACGTTCTTTTCACAGCAATGTGCAGATTTATGGCAGTAAAGCCAAGCAAAGATTAAAATGAAAAGGTATAAGTGGAAAAGTGGGGGGTGTTTGCTCCCTTAAACACAATAGTTTAGATAAAAGCAGAAGATGGATTAGTCAGTGGCACAGGAAATAAAAGAGAGCACTTCATTTACAGTACGGAAAGGAGGAGCAGGAAAGGACCACATTAGCACAGAGCACAGAAGGGGGATATTTTTAAAAAGTGACTTTGTGATGTATTGCCCTCGGGGGACAATTCAAATCCACACTCCCTTTCACTCGCATTTCCTCACCCAGAATGCCTCCATCCTGCTGCAGACCTACAGCCCAGTTCAGCAGGATACCCAACCTAGTCTGCAGCTGCAGCTGACAGTGCAGGCTCCTTCCCCAGGCCTGCTGGAGCTCCTTAGCTACACTGAGGAAATTATCTTGTCGACCGCTCCCTCTCTCGCTGCCCTGGTGGTGCTGCAAAGTTTGGTCCGACCCCCACTCCTCAGTTAGTGGCTTTAGGAGCTCCAATACTTTGAACATCACCGCCAGAACCTAATCGAGAAAAGTTTAAATTCACTCAAGTTCTTTTTTCTTTTTCATAGTATTCATTTATTACAGTAATAGTAAGCCTCTAGAAACAGCTCCTGAACAGACCTTGTGGTTTGATTACTTTCTCCACCGCTACTTTCAAGATCAAAAACTATTTTTGTGAACATGGGAAGATTTTTAGGTGCTTAGGAAAAACTGGAAATTTAAACATCTGCTGTTTCCTCTTACTTGACACAGTCAAAAGCATCTAATCTAATCGAGCACCTTGCTGTCTAGAAGGGCCTGGTATCCTCCTGCGTTAGGCACCGCTTGCCCAGCGCGTATGCTGGCCCCCCCTACTCTCACCATCCGCCCACTCAGAGGTTCGATGAAGGACTCGGCCAACAGAACTCCACCTACTGGCAGCACAGCTCCTACACAAACACACAGAACAAATTACTGAAGATAAAATAAACTCGACATGGGCTGTGCTGAAGACTCAACCGCAGCACTGACCTGTGACTGGATCTAGACTGACCCCAACAGTGAGCACAACATTCCCCGTCCTGGAGTCCAGCATGGGGTAGCCAATCTGTATCGGCTGAGGGAGGCGGGTGAGGGGACAGACATGCACCCCTCCCAATGGGTAGACTAGTCCTGTCTGGGGGTGGATGGTTACAGCCAGAATGGGCACTGGGACCCCTGTGTCTGGGTCTGCCATGGGGACACCCAGCTGCAGTCTCTGGCCCGGTTTGAGGCCTCTGAGCCGGGTGCTGGGCAGAGGCTGGTCTGAGTGGCAGGAGGTTGGGTAGGGAATGAAAGGAAGAAGAGGACTGTCCCACTTCCTGCTGTCTCCTGAGAAAAGCACAGTTTAATCTGTAAAAAAAGACTCTTGAAAATGTCAATGATCTGAGTGTTGCAAACTTAACCACTTTCCATTTCAATTATTGATTTCTTCCACTTTTACAAATGCCTTTTAGGAAACCACAGAGAATGGGCATGATAATATTAAATTACTTGTGATCATTTGGTATGCATAATCAGTTTTAAGAAAAAAGAAATCTAAAACACAGATGATAGAAATATTTTTCACGAAACTGTATTCTGGCAGTATTCAATTTCCCACGACACATGCACTTCCCAATACTAAACACAGGCCAGTCCATCACCTGCATACTTTTTTTTTTGTTTCCAATTTTTTTTGAGGAAAGCACAAGTGAGCAGTGTCAAAAATAACAAAAAAAAAAGTCCTGAATTGAGCAAAAAGCGGAAAAGAAGGAAACATCTGCTTCCTAAGATGAGACCACAACTGCAGAGAAAAAAGTTTTTGGTGTTGCAAAGCCAAGAGTCTAGAAAGGAGCTAATGTGTTTTTATGGGGCTGATATCAAAGTATTAACTAATGGATATTATTTAAAGGTGTAGGTGGTTTGAATTTTAGCTGCCATCAAACTGCACACCTAAGTGTTATTTTATATTGTGTATATTTGACCAGTTATCCAGTGTAAAGTATCAGTGCATCCCTTTTTCCTCTTTATCTGGTTCAATCATCCCTCAAACCCCACAAGCACTCATCATATCACCTGTGCATGAGTCAGTTGTGAACACTAGAGTAGAGCTTGCAGGATCGTAGGCCACGTTGCCAGCTATGGGCATAACTCTGCTGGTCTGTGGGTGGACGAAGAAATCAGGTGGCACCGCCATGGTGTGGCCGCTGCTCAGCAGCATATGGCTGTGAGCATTTGGCCTTATGAGGCCTGTGACTGAATCACAGTGAAGTGCCCGACTGACACGCAGAGACCCATCAGGACCTGGAGAGAGGCAGAAAGACAGACTGTTAATTATTAAGCTGATGATTTAAGATGTTTTGAATGTGAGTCTAGTCACATGCTGGGTGGACAGCTTGCCACACTGATTTCTGCTTAAATGGATCACTGCAGTGTAAAAACTTGGATCAAGAAGAAAAGCATGTGTCTCCATCATTTTGGTACACCTCTAACCCTCCAACTGGTGCGATAGCTTTGTTTAAAATACCTATATTCCATTTTATGAGCTAACTGTTACAGGAGAAATAATGTACCTAGTGTAGCAGGGGGACACTATACGACCCAGGCAAAATTTGGCCAGTCAAGGTGAGAGCACCTGAGCTGTTAAGAGGCTCATGGAGCACAGGTGTGTCAGCCTCATTCATGATCTGTGATCACTCCTGTAGACATGCTTGCCTGGGTCCTAACAGTCCAGGTGTAGTGGCAGAGGAAAGGCAAAGCGCTGATTGACATTTAATTTACATTATTTAAGGTAGGTGTTACACTAGAGAAAACTCAATATATGGACTTGTGTGGGTGTAAAGTAATGCTGGGAAAGTGTAGGTGTACTACTTGTATGGAGGATACAAACCAAATGTGTGCCTCTTTTTTTCTTTTTTTTTTCACTTAGGCCACCTTGTTGTTGTGCACATTTTTAGCAAAAGATGGTGCTGTTTCTCTAAGATTTATGGATGGAGCTTTTGAAGGATGAAGGCCAGGCTGAGACAGGTGAAGGCCTTAACACGTGTCAATCAAGAAGAGACTCACGCTGACCACAAAGATATTGCAACACAACAACAAAAAGAGGACCAACTATAACGTCTGGCTCCTATATAGCAGTGGTTCCCAACCACTTTGAGTAAACTGACAACCCCTGACTGAGTGAAAGATGATATTTCATATCATATTCAATGCATTACAATAACAATGCAGAACAGCTGGTAAACTTTACAATTAACCCAAATAGTGGATGCAATAGCTGTGGGAAGTTTGTGTAAAATGAGTGCTTTGAAACAGATGATTTCCTGTGAATATTGCATCAGAGATTAATTTTCCTGGTATTTTTTGAAACTTTTTATACCATTCTCTACACATTTATTTATTTTATTTATTTTTTTTGTTGTATTACTAACAATTATTAATGCTTAATATGCTTCTTTTTCGACAGACTCAGTGTTTCCTTCTCTCTAAAGCTTGGTCATTTTTCTGTTGGCTCTTTGGGTATTTTAACTGCCTACTTTACTGATGCTTTAAAAACAACAGTCTCATATAGTTTTCTTCACATAAATGAATGAAATGCTGAGATACAGACCAATAATATATATGTTAAAAAAGTTTTGTTACACCCTTTAAAATCAAGAAGGCCTCATGTCCCCATGTGAAGCTTTGGCGACCCCTACTGGCAGTTGGGATCTCTAGGTTGGGACAGGTGTTGAGGCCTTTACATATCTGTGCCCAGCCAGAGGCCCATTGTCTCATTACCACCTATGTCCAACTCAGGGGTGTTGGACTCACCAAAGATGTGGTCCTTGGTCAGCACAGTTCCAGTGTCAGGGCAGAGCAGCTTGGCCCCTATACCCTCACCCAGAAACCCCCAGGCCCCCTGACGCTGGCACTCCGCTGACACCAGCTCTCCCATCTCATCCACCAGGGACGTTAGCCTCTGGATCAAACTGAACATGGGAAAGGAGAGATTGTAGATGTAAGGGTATTTACTCTGTTCTGCTTGTTGTTTGTGACACTTTGCAAAGGGTAAATGGGAGCTTTACTTCTGCTGGTGGTTGCTGTTAATCTTGGACAGGAGTCTGGTACATTCTCTGAGCTGGGCTGTGAGCACACTGTGAACCCTCTGCTGGGCCTGCTGCTCTCGCCTCAGCACCTGAAGAAAACAGCAAAGCAGTTTATGATCAGTCAATTTATTGATTAGTTATTGTGACTTGAACAAAACAAACAATTTGATGGCATCACTTCGGGCTTTAGGATTTTCGGAAATTCTGTAGACCAAAGGATTAACTGACAATCGTTAGTTGCAGCTTGAGAAAGATTCCTGTGTCTTTAAGGTCTGTCTCGAACACATACATACACTGTCTCTTCATCTTTACTGTCCACTGTCCTTGTAATTAGAATAGATTGATTTAGTTTTTCCTCATTTTTTAATAATGTAATAATGGGAGATGCACAGATGGGAATGTAATGTAATAAAAACCTGCAGCTGGCTGTCGAGCAGAGTCCTCAGCTGTGAGGCCAGAGTCTTCCGCCGCACCACCTCCCTCTCCACCTCCCTCTTCACCCTCTCATAGCCCTCCCCCATCCTCTCCTCAGTGATCAGGCGTGGGTGGAGGAGCTGCAGTTTCCCAAGCACTCCCTGATATAGCTCCTTCACCTGGATACACACAGACACACATATGAAAACAAAAAAATGACTGCCACATTGTTTTCATAAAATCACAGTAATCAAATCGCACATCCGACCCCACGCCCATGCGGCTAGCACACATGTAACACTGGTGAGACGTGCACGTTTGTGGGATGATCATGGGTGTGAGGTGTGCCATCTCTTTTTACATCTTTATCACTTCAGCTGTCCTGAGGGCTGTAACAACAACCCCTGTCAACTACACTGCAGCCAACAATTTGGTGGCACAAACAGGAAGGACGCAGGAGAGAGAACGGTGTGACAAAGAACAGAGGCATCCCAATGTGACATCCAATATGTTTCAATACAGTATAACCTTATGAGTGAAGAAGGGACAGTAGCAGGTGAAAAAGAAAAGGAGATAAAGATAAAAGCTGAGTTATTGGATGGAGCCTGTGCTTGTGAGAAATCAGGGTATGTGAAGTAGACTTAATAAGACAAGACAATATAACATGGGCTGGATGAGAAATCAATACCACTGTCATATTTTACCATAATTACAAGCTACAGCCAGCAGCTGGTTATCTTATCTTAGCATAAAACAGCATGATCCTTTTCATTCCCACTCAACATATGTTGCAGGTTGGGCAGAAGCCTCACGCATTACTAAAATGATGCCAGGGGCAGTGTTGCATGTTGACAAAGAAGGGGTCAGTGGTACGAAAGGGTTTGGGGCTTTGTTCGCAGATGTTGCTTTAAAAAACACCTGGCTTTGAGTAGCACAGACGCATGAACTATTCATAAAACAGTAATGTGAGGAATGTGTAATATAGGATATTAAGACATCAATTTGTTTGTTTGTAAAACAATCAAAAGGGGAGTTTCTGGTGTCCCAGGCATGGGAAGAAACTTCAGAGACTGATTATATGCATCATGTACTGAAAAAGAGGGGGTCAATTCTTTCACATAGTGTTATTTTTGCATATAAACTAAGAGCTACAGGCCTCGGTGGTGAGCTGTCCCAGCCGCGTGGTGACAGACAGACTCTGTTTGAGCAGCAGGCTATAGAAGGTGTTGCTGCTGAATGCCTCCAGATCCACCTGGTGCTCGTAATCCCAGAACTCCTCCAAGGTGTCTGCACAGACTGCTGTCATGAGAGAGATACACAAAGAGACCGAGGGAGAAAGATGAGTAGAATATAACTAGAGTTACTGCCTCACGTTTGTATGTCTCCACAAACCTGTCAAGTGGCAGTTAGAGTTTACATCCATGTCTGTGAAAACATGGACGCTTCACACACATCTTCAACCTGGCAGCACAGAAGATTTGTACAATCAGCACAGTTTCAAAGTGAGCACCCAAGATTAATGTCACCAAGTCAGTATCTGACCAAATGTCTTCCCTTGTGTTCCTGATTTATGACGAGTAATGGCCAAAAAAGTGATTTTGCAGAACATTATGATGTCACAGTGAAGCTGACCTTTGACCTTTTGTCCAATGTCATCACTTCATCATGTTATCATCCTGTTAACCATTGAAATTGTGCTGTAATTGGCATAGGAATTTCTGAGTTATGGCAGAAATCATACATATATGTATACCATATCATATATAGGTAAGGTCTCAGTGACCTTGACCTTTGACCCTTGACCAATAAATTCAGTTCATTCTTAAGTTCAAGTAGATGTTTGTGCCAAATTTTAAGAAATTCCTTCAAGGGATCCTTGAGATGTCCCATTCACAATAATGAGACAGACAAGGTCACAGTGACCTTGACCTTTGATCTTTGACCACCAAATTTTAACCAATTCATCCTTGAGTCCAAGTGGACATTTGTGCCAAATTTGAAGGAAAAAAAAATGCTCCTGGGGTTCTTGAGATATCTCATTCACTAGAATGAGATGGATGCAGGGTCATATTGACCTCAACCTTTGACCTTTGACGATCAAAATCTGACCAATTCAGTCATGTTGTGTGAAGAAATCGTCTATGTGAGAACGAGACCTGAGGACAACCCAAAAGCATCATTCTTCCAGCCATAGCTATCGCTGGCGCAGTCATACATGGCACATCTCTTGAGGAGAACTTTTAAAAGCGTGCATGATGTGCTGCCTGAGAGAGATCAATGAGCTTGGAACGCCTCGCCTACCTGTTCCGCATGTCATGGTACATACACTCTAATTTTTGTTGTGTATTTTTTCTTAATGTATGCACATCAGAAGCTTTAATAAATCAATTCACTCTTTACATTACAAGCAAACACTTGTTTCTCTCCAAGCCATTTAAGAAGGCCCTATTTTTGGCCAAAAACGTTTGTAGTGGCGATTGCATAAAATGTGCCATCTCAAAATACAGTAATCTGAGGGGATTTCCTAAGTCCTGTGACATTTGGACTGTTGTCATTCTTATTGTTTGTCACTGCACGTGATGTCAGGAATGTTACAAGAGCCTTTTCAACAGTAATTGGTCGGGTGGGAGCAACACCCCCAGGTCACTGTCAGCGTTACATAAGAAGCCACAAGGGTCTTCAAAGACCAACAATGTATCAATGTGTTTCTGTGTATATGTAAGTGTGCTTGCATGCATGTGTGTGTGTGTTATGTGTGCACGCTGCGGCTGCATTCATTGACGTGCTGCAGATTATGTTTGAATGCAAGTTACGTAACATATTGGCCTTTAGGCTTTCAAATGAATGAGTTGAGAGGTCATGTGCATGTGTGTGTGTGTGTGTGTGTGTGTGCGTTTCTGCGAGAGTGTGTGTAGACCTGGTTGAATGGAGTCTTGTGTCATTCTGGCTTGATGGTTTCGGTGAATCTTCCTATGTGAGATCACCCTTGATCCTTTGGATGAGTAGTCGTCCATGTGGTAGGCCAACTGCAACAAGCGATACCGTGCTCTGATCGGCTCCTTCTCAGGCCATCCATACTCACGGAACAGGATCTTCACATGAGATTAGGCATGGGATGATATGTAAATTTTATTAATACAATTAAATAATGATGATTCCCAATATTATCCCGATATCTTGAATCAATCTTAAAAAGTAATGGAAATTCTCCATGATCAAAAGCCTTGCAATGTATTTGTGTTCTGTGTATGTTCACTAACCAGCAGTGTAACACATAAACAGAGGATGACCACAGCTCCAAATAGCAGCCATCCGGTCACCAGCCAATCTGGCCTCAGTAACAGGTTGCGTCTCCTGCTGATTCCCACCCTGGTAACATGACGAGGTATGGTGGGGAAGAAGGGACCAGGCTCGTAACACTGGCCGCCTGCAGGCATCACCCGCACATACTGAGTAAGAAGAGTTAGAGAGCAATAAGAGGGGGGATATGTGACAGTAGTTTAATTATCCAGGTGTTGTAAATTCACATATATGTTAGAATTTGCTTCACAAAGACCAAAATTAAGGAATTTGTAATGTAAGATGTGATGTAAGGACCAAGAATAGACCAAGATGTGGAAACTTAAAGACACCCTGTGACATGTTTGACCCCTTGCAAACCATGTAAAGAGAATACAGGGAGGACTTGGCAGACAAGTACATTGGTACAAGTACTTTATCTTCAGGAAAGCAGTAAGGAATACTCAATGCATTTAGTGTGGAATTTTGGATGCAAGGTGACGGACTTCCCCCTATGTCCATAACCTTGATATCATCCTCGATCAAACCCTCTCCTTTGACCAACATATCAAACACATCACCATAACAGCCTTCTTTCATCTCAGAAACATTGCCCAACTCTGTCCAAACCTTTTCTTTTTCAGCTGTAGAGACCCTCATTCATGTATTCATCACTTCCAGACTTGATTACTGCAGTAGTCTCCTCTACAGTTCATCATCCAAAACTCTCAAGAAACTACAATATATCCACAATTCAGTTGCTCGTCTTCTCACACACTCGCACACCCGTGACCACATCACCCCCATCCTGATGAAAATATGAATTAAGATTCTGTTACTGTGTTGCCTACTTCTCACCTAAAATGTTTTCAGAAACATATTTTGGCTCACTGTTAAACTGTAATTCAAGATTGATAGATACCAGCTAGCTGCCATTTTGTTTCCTGTGGGCAATGGCCAAGCTCGCATTACATCACTCACCAGCAGGAGCTTTTATTGCACACAGTGCATTCTGGTAGTTGTAGGTTTTCTACCTTTTGAGCAGAAGCAATACCACAGACCTTTTCCTCTGTGATTTTTTAGTCATATAGCACCAGTATCAATAGTATTTGCATCCTTCTACTGCAGACAGCCCCGTTTTATTTTTAATTTTTTAATTTAATATACTTTATTAATCCCCGAGGGGAAATTCAATTTTTCACTCTGTTGTCAATTACACACAGGTCCTAACACACACATGCACAAACTGGACCTATACATGCACTAAGTGGAGAGATGTCAGAGTGGGCTGCCCATGACAGGCGCTCTGAGCAGTTGGGGGGTTCGGTGCCTTGCTCAGGGGCACCTCGGCAGTGCCCAGGAGGTGAACTGGCACCTCTCCAGCTACCAGTCCACGCTCCATATTTTTGGTCCGGACGGGGACTTGAACAGGCGACCCTCCGGTTCCCAACCCAAGTCCCTATGGACTGAGCTACTTCCAAACACTTCTTTAATGCTTATGTTATTCAAATTTAGTTACCATGTGTTTGTGCCGATGGCTGCTCAGTGTAAAAACATAAACTCCAGGCTGGCTAAACACCACTGCAAAGAAGCTGGGAGGAGTCCAAGACAGAGTCAGCTCTTCTTTGAGCTGTCTGAATGCACCCCAGTCGAAATCCCTGTTTGTGTTGTACAAGTTGTCACTGAAAGACATGAAGTAAGGTGTAAGGTAGAGTCAAAGCCAGAGATGGGACCAAGTCACACATGTGCAAGTCTCAAGTAAGTCTCAAGTCTTAACCTTCAAGTCTCAAGTAAGTCCCAAGTCATTTTTTCTCGGTCAAGTCAAGTCAAGTCAAGTCACAGGTTATGTCAAGTCAAGTCAAGTCCTGTAATAGGTCAAGTCAAGTCCAAGTCAAGTCACCTTATTATTGTAATTTTACCTGCAGAATCTGATCTTAATAAAGTGAAAAGAAAAGATATAAGTAACTGTCAGTAAACATTGACTTCATTGCTTCAATGTTTACTTTGCAGGGATGACACACACACACACACACACACACACACACACACACACACACACACACACTAACCAAGGCAGCGGCCAAAATCACCCATTTAGCTCATTTAATCCTGTGTTGCTCATTCATAAAACGTACAGCCGGTCTTGTGATGAACTGGTTGGAATGTTCGCTCACGTTTTCTGGGGTTAATGTTAGCAAATAAATTAAAAAACAAGTTCCACCAAACTGACCCACCCCCGTATCGTATCAAGCTAACGTTAGCTAACTACGACTAACCAGATAATATTAGCTAATTGACAAGCACTTACTGGGCAGAATGGCTCTTCAAATGACGAACAAAGTTTGAAGTTGTCGCCTGGCTGTCCGAGATGTTTATGCCGCATGTCTTGCATTGTGCTGTTCGTCTTTTGCCGTAATAATGGTAATTCCGAAAGCCGAAGACGATGACCCTCGGTACCCCTCCCGCTGACATGTTGATGCCTATCTGATATAAGAGGGCCTATTTCTCCAATAAACACGTAAGGTACGTAGAGAGACCACCATTCTCAGCCTGTGCTCCTACCGATATTCTAACCGAAAACATGATGTGAATAACACTCAAGTCATTCAAGTCATCGTGTCTCAAGTCAAGTCAAGTCCCGAGTCTTTAACTTCCAAGTCCGAGTCAAGTCTCAAGTCTTTTATTTTTTGTCAAGTCAAGTCACAAGTCATCAAAACAGCGACTCGAGTCGACTCGAGTCCAAGTCACAATGACTCAAGTCCCCATCTCTGGTCAAAGCACAGATTCATAGGTAAAAATGGACATGGAAAACTTGTAGGGCTAGCATCTGACTTACAGATCATACTGAGGATAGTGACGTGTGTCAACAGTGAACAGTAGAATGTCGCCCAAATGGAGACATGTTGTGGGGTTCAAAACTCCATTTAGACTTGTTTCTCTCGCTTCTTCATTACTTCTGCTGGAATTAATTTCTCTCCTTACAAGACTGATATTTGCAACTTCGACATCCTTCCACAGAACGTCAGAATCTCCTTCTAAAAAAAAAACAACACAGGACCATCATCATTGAAGCAATAATTCGTTATGTTGCGTGGACAATAAACCATCATCACTGTTGGTGTTTTGATATGACATGCCCGCTGAGCTCTGAGTGTCCTGCTGTGTGGTGACAGGAAACAGTTGCTGCACTTCCTTCGGGAGGCCGTCGAGGAGGCCGAAGAAACCTGCCTCTGCAATCAGACAACAACAGAGAGAGAGATGTGACGGACAAAAGGAGACAGAGGCAGACAGACAGCTACTTTGCATGTCTATACCTGTTGTCTGAACAATGTATACAGCATGTGAGGAGTTAAGATAGCTGCCGCACAGAGAAGTCCCCGGGGAGTCCCACTGTTTAAAAAACGTCTCCAGCACGCTGCCTGAGACGCTCAACACCTGCACACACAATAGCGATGTTCAGCATTTATAGGTCACTGCAACACAAGAGACGCTCGTCCTGCACTTTCACTGCTGGTGCGATAAAGACGACATTGTGTTTTGTCTGCATTGTCTGACCAGGTAGTGTAACACAAACTATTCTTTATGTTTATTCAGTAGAAACACTGCATGGATATCATGAGAGGAACACTTCCTGGGTACAGTTAGCTTTAATTTTATTGACCCAAAACACTTTCTTTCCTTTTTTGTGCATTAATTTGTTAGTGTATGTAAATCCGCAGCTGCCTTCACTCACCTGACCATCATAACTCCAAATCAACTCCATGTCTCCACTGGACTGGCAGCGGAGTTCCAGCTCAGAGGCTGGCCTTGTCCTGCACAGGCCCACACACGCAGCTCTTCCAGGAGGCTCTCTGCAAACACACAGACCCAGCTCTCCATCATAACCCCTGTAGTCCTCTGCAGACTGACACACCTGCAGAAAGCAACCAAGACAAATCAAGAAAATACTTTTTTCTGCTTGGACCAGCTTTTGTCTGAGTGTTTTAAAATCATTTAAAAAACTGGCAGCATTCTTATGCTCGGATGGAGTGTGTAACTAGGTGTAAGGTCATTTGTTCAAAAGGCCGCAATGGAGGGCAGTGACAAAAATAAACACTGTGCGGGGAGAGTGGTGAAGGCCTCGCTGACCGACAGTCAAAGGAAGCAGTGTATGGTTAAATATTAAGTTGGGCTGATACAAACCTTTCCTAGATAAACTGTTGCCAAGTTCATGGAGGAAAAGGGCAAAGACATCGAGGTTGTACTCATCAGCTCGGTCTGTGATTGTCAGCCGTGGAATATAACCTAGTACATTTACTCACGCACCATCTGTAGTACAAATTTGAGGTACTTGTACATTCATGCCACTTTATATTTTTACTCCTCTGCATTTTATAGGGAAATCTTGTCCTTTTTACTCAACTTAAATTATCTGGCAACCTTAGTTGCTAGTTACTTTACAAAAGAAGATTTTTGCATACAAAACATATGAAGAGCTTATATAATGTGTTTTCTTATGAATTAAACTATAGGGTGCCATTTGTAAAGTGGCTTGCACTGAAATTAACAGCAACTTTTTGCCACATTTAGCTTCAAACAACGTTTAAAAAAGTGGTGTGAATTTTTGAAAGTCACTTTTTACCACATTTACAGCAGTATTTGAAATATGTTAAATATAATGTCACAGTTAAATCTAAATGTCAAATGTTAAACCTAAATGTTAAATCTAAATCTAAATGTTGAATGTCACTGTAAATCTAAATGTAAATGTTAAATCTAAATCTAAATGTTAAATGTTACTGTATATCTAAATCTAAATGTTAAATCTAAATCTAAATGTTAAATGTTAAATCTAAATTATATAAATATTAAACTCAAAGTACACGTCAAATAAAATTTCCCCAAACATGGTTTCTGTCATTTTAGGTAGTTCTTATCACGCTAATGTATGTTCAATAAATTAATAAGTTAATTTTCTCCCATTAGTTTGGTTTGACTGACAGTGTGCATTTGCATATTAGCTAAATATTTCACCAAGTATATTTAAATTTAACATTTAGCATTTAGATTTAGATTTAACATTGAGATTTAATATTTAGATTTAGATTTAACATTTAGATTTACATTTAGATTTAGACTTAACATTTAGACTTACATTTAGATTTAACATTTACATTTAGATTTAACATTGAGATTTAACATTTAGATTTACATTTAGATTTAGACTTAAAGGGACATTGTGTAACATTTTCAGTTGTTTATTGGCAAAAAATGATGTCTGCATTCATAAATATGTCATCACTGGTGTACTATTACCTCCACCAATAATCTGACTTATTCTCGTACAAGGAGAATTTCGGATTTGTTTGTACATTGTGCAGGTAAGTCGTCTGTGGGGTTCCATTACGTTTCGCCATCTTGAGAATACACCCGCCAGCAAGGGACATACAGCACCGCCTTCGGCGTTTTCGTTGAGAGCCAGACCAGCACTGCGTGACTGAGGAGCCGAAGGAGAGGAGCAAGAGGCGCTTCGCTACTACCCTGGCAAATTTGAAACAAAGTCCCACTCTTTGAGCATAATGCAGGATCATGCATATGCAGCATCATGGGAGACGGAATCCTTGTCGCCAAGAAAGCGCAAAAGGGAATAGAAAAGGCAGCGTGACCAGCGAATTAAAAAAACGAAGGCCCACATCGGGGTAGCCTTTCTCAGGTAGAGAGAGCTGCTGAGGGAGAATGGTAATGCAATCACAGGCCAGCGCTAACAGCGGCGCAGTGATGCGAGGAGAGGGATGAGGCTGTTAGCGACTGGCCACTAACAGCGGCTAACAGCCAACAGCGGCGCTGGCCTGTGATTGCATTACCATTCTCCCTCAGCAGTTCTCTCTACCTGGGAAAGGCTACCCTGATGTGGGCCTTCGTTTTTTTAATTCGCCGGTCGCTAACAGCCTCATCCCTCTCCTCGCATTACTGCGTCGCTGTTAGCCACTGTTAGCCGCCGTTAGCGGCCAGTCGCTAACAGCCTCATCCCTCTCCTCGCATCACTGCGCCGCTGTTAGCCGCTGTTAGCCACTGTTAGCGCTGGCCTGTGATTGTATTACCTTTCTCCTTCAGCAGCTCTCTCTACCTGGGAAAGGCAACCCCAATGCTGACCCTTGTTTTTTTAATTCGCCGGTCACGCTGCCTTTTTGATTCCCTTTTGCACTTTCTTGGCGACGAGGATTCCGTCTCCCGTGATGCTGCATAATACATGATCCTGCATTATGCTCAAAGAGTGGGACTTTGTTATGCGGCAGTAGTGCCGCTGGCCACTAACAGCTGTTAGCGGCGCAGTAATGCGAGGAGAGGGATGAGGTGTGTGAGGTTGAGCCACTTGTCAGTTGTCAAAGGACAAGACGTGATTGGTTTGTTTCAATTTACATCCGCCCCAACAGTCCTATGTTGTAAACACAGCCATCATGGTGAGGAGGGGGTTTGTCAACTCGCGTCGCGTGTCTGTGTAGGAGCCTGAATGAATACTCCATGTAGTATCGGATGACATGGTTTCATCAGTGTTATCATAGCTTTTTGGTACACAGCTGCTACAGTTGTTGCAATACTTGTTTGAAACAGTGAGGCGCTAGAGTGCGCCATCTGTTTGAATACATTATATGATTTCAACGTTAGATGGGAGAAATTCCTACACACTGTGGCTTTAACATTTAGATTTACATTTACATTTAGATTTAACATTTAGATGTAGATTTAACATTTAGATTTACATTTAAATGTTAATTTAGAACAGATGTGAAACATTTCAGCGTTCCAGCTTCTCAAATATATACATATATATTTAATACATTTTAATTTATTTTTAATAGATTTGAGGTTTTGACTATTGGTTGGAAAATACAAATAATGCTTTAATATTAATACATTAGTAGTAATAAGATTCTAATAAACATTTAGAGTACACCTCATTGTCACAGGGGTTATTTTCTGCATTGAGACTTTTTGCTTTTAATGCTTTAAGTACATTTTCCTGATTAAACTTACATACTTTTACTTCTGTCAATTGCAAGCAGCATTTTACTTGCACCAAAATATTTTTACTGTGTAGTATTTCATTGTGGAGTATGTTTTGTCTGTGTGCTCTGTAAACAGGTCACAGTCCATCAAAGTCATAAAGCATCATTCAAACTGACGTTCAAGATGAGTTTCCTGTTACCTTTGCTCTCGTGTGCATGACTATGCGTGATATGACTGCACGAGGTCTAACCTGCTGCCTGCACTGAAGTGACCACTGATTTCTGTCCAGGCAGTCTCCATACTGTGTGCGTGTTTTCCCGTCTCTACAGACATCGTACAGTTTGTGTACACATGCATCTCCCTGGTTGGCAGGTTGGTAGCCGATGGTGCAGCGGCACTGCCCATCACTGGTCTGTAGAAAAAGCAGCAGGGTTCAGGCACTGTGTTGTATAATACTGCATGCAGGTCACAGTGAGGTCACTCTGTTACCTAATACCCTGATCAATATATCTCCCCTTCATCCTTAGGTCTTTATTGGTTCCCTACTGTTTTTCAGTCCTTTTGTCCTTCCTTAATGGATTCCTTCATCTGGTTTTCCCTCCTTCCTTCCATCCTTCATGAGTCCCTTATGTTTTTCCTTCCCTCCTCTCTCCTCCCCCCTCTTTCTTTGAGTCCCTCATAATGTCTTTCCTTCCTCCCCCTCTTCCTTCACTGACTCCCCTGCTTGTTTTCCTTTCTTCCTTCCATCCTCCCTTCAACGATTCCTTCCTGCCTTCCCTTCTTCTTGCCTTCTTTCTTTCCCTCATCAATTCTCATGGGTTTTTCCTTTTCTCCTTTCTTCCTCTTTCCTTGATTCCCTCTGTTTTTCTTTCCTTTCTCCCCTTCGTCCCTAATTGACTCTTCCAGCTGTTTTCCTACCTTCCTTCCTTATTCTTTCCTTCCTTCCTTCCTTTCCACGGTTGTACCTTCCTTGCTTCATCGAGCCTCTCATGTTTTTCCTTCCCCCCTTTCTTCCCTCCTTTTTCTTTGATTCCCTCATCCATTTTTCTTTCCTTTCTCCCATTCTTTCCTCATTGACTCCTCCGTCTGTTTTCCTCCCTTCATTCCTTACTTCCTTTCCACCTTCTTACCTTACCTTTCCTCATCAGTTCCCTCGTGTTTTTCCTGCCTTCCTTCAGTGATCTCTTCCTTCTTCCCCTCCTTTTTATCTTCTTTCCTACATATATTCCCTCATGTTTTTCCTTCCCTCCTTTCTTCCCTCCTTGATTCCCTCATCCATTTTTCTTTCCTTTATCCCATTCTTTCCCCATTGACTCCTCCATCTGTTTTCCTCCCTTCCTTCATTACTTCCTACCTTCCTTCCTTTCCACCTTCTTACCTTACCTTTCCTCATCAGTTCCCTTGTGTTTTTCCTTCCTTCCTTCAGTGATCCCTTCCTTCTTCCCCTCCTTCTTACCTTCCTTCATCAGTTCCCTCTTGTTTTTCCTTCCTTTCTCAATTCCCTCTTTTTTCTTTCAGTGATCCCTTGCTTCCTTCCCTCCTTTTTACCTTCCATCCTACATACTGTATATTCCCTCATGTTTTTCCTTCCTTCCCTCCTTCCTCCCTTGGTCCCCTCATCCATTTTTCTGTCCTTTCTCTCCTTCTACCTTCATTGAGTCCTCTGTCTGTTTACTGTCCTTCCTTTCTTCCTTCCTCCTTTCCCTCATTCATTCCTTCATTTGTTTTTCCCTCCTTCCTTTCTTCCATCATTCATTCATTCAGTCATTCATTCAAAACTAGTTTTCACACTAGCCCGGGCACAACCAGACAACAGTCAGAGAAAGAAATCTCACTCTCTTTATTATGAGCTGATGAGTGGAGAACTCAACACCCATGCATGCTGCAACAGACTAGGAAACAAGACCCTACTGCAAGCGAAATTGATCTTGAGCTCTTTCAGCGTGAAGTTACAGATTGTCCAGTCTAAAGTTTCCTCTCGGGGAGAAAGCTCTTCTCATATTAGTGTGCACAATGTATCCCAGGATTCAAGTGTGACACGATAAAAAACACTGGCATGAGAAATACAGATCTTTGGGTTTATGAAAGAAAGGAAGAGCTTGTAAGAGTACAGGTGGTAGTGATACAAAAACAAGGACTACATGGTCACATAAAACACACCAGAGGGAACACACATGCTCATGTGAAAACACTTTGTCACCTGGAAACTCTGTCCCTCTCCTGGGCAGACACAGGCCTCCTGACCAGACAGAGGCTGCTGAGCCACAGGGCCGCAGGGCAGGGAGGCAGACAGGCCTGTTCTAGGACAGTAGTGGTGAGGAGGACACTTCAGACAGCTGTCAGTGGACACAGCACCAGCAATTGGCCCATAGGTTCCTTTGGGACAAGGCATTGGGGTAAAGCTCCCCAAAGGGCAGTAGAAACCTATTAGAAATAAATAAAATAGGTACAAAAATATTGTTAAACGATCACTGTGTGCAGATGGGACAGCCTACCTGGCTGACAGGGTGGCCTCTCCTGGAACTGTTGACTGAAGTTGTTTCCATGAACCAGAGAAAGGAGCACAGCACTCAGCCACCTGAAACTCTCGCATCTGCATCTCCTGAGCATTGTTAATATGGTGCACAAGAAACCCAGCTCTTTTCCAGCCTCAAGACATTTTCAATTCTTCATCCAAGATCTGTCAACAGTCTCTTGGTTGCCTGCCTTGTTTTGGTCACAGCCAACAAAGTTTTTACGAAGATGCTGTGGCAGCCTCATCCTGTTGATAAACCTCTCCTGCCTGCTGCAGTCCCGCACACATGACCTGATCTGTCTGACGGTAGATAGAGCTGCGAGGTAAGCAGCGGGCTAGTTAGTCTGCATAACTTTCAGTGGCCTGTTGAATGATTTATGAGGCCTGTGGGGTAAGGTGACAGTGACAGTGGAGGGACTGGGTGCTGGTGGAAAGTGACGGGGTAAACAGAGTGTAAGGCTGCCTGATGGTGCCGGATCACATTACTGCATTTGTTCTTCTCAATCCTGCCATGAAACTGATTAAAGATTTGGCCCCCAAAGTACATCAACACAGCTTTGCTTTAGAGGGGTCTATTAAGCACTATGTGCATCACAGCAGCTGCTGAATTCCCTTTGAAACTCATGCTCAGATATCTGCCCAGTGGGTGGATTATGAGATAATGGGCCCAGATATGCAGAGGACCCCACCACTTTTCCCCCACTGGAGCAGGACACACAGACTCTATGATTATTTAGCCTCTTTGTGTTATTATTTTGAGTCTTTTTGTGTTATTATTTTGAGTCTTTTTGTAATCATAACGCATCTCTCTGTGGTTCTGTTTCTTTTAGTGGTCATTTTGTATCTGTTTGTGGTCATTTTGTGTTTCCTTGTGGTCCGTTTTTGTCTCTTTATCATTGTTTTGCCCCTTCCCTAAGTCTTGCAACTGTTTTGCATCCTTTTTGTAGTTGTTTTGTGTCTCTTTGTGATTCATATGTGATCATTTCAAGTCTCTTCTTGGCTGTTACATGTCTTTTTGAGGGACATTTTACATGTGAAGACCACAGACTGTAAAAAAAAATAATGGATGTAGCTACTGTGATGTCACCCATTGGTTTGTGGACTCCCATTATGAAGCCCCGAGTTCACCATTTCAGCCGCCACTCTTGGTTTTTTGGAGCCAGGAGGCATCATATTCAGGCAGGAGGCTGGCTCTGAGCAAGGGGTAGATCTGAATGAGAAGCTGAGGACACTGTCAGCAGACAGCCTGTCACTCAAAACGTCCTTAAGTACAGTACAGGCCAAAAGTTTGGACACACCTTCTCATTCAATGCGTTTTCTTTATTTTCATGACTATTTACATTGTAGATTCTCACTGAAGGCATCAAAACTATGAATGAACACATGTGGAGTTATGTACTTATCAAAAAAAGGTGAAATAACTGAAAACATGTTTTATATTCTAGTTTCTTCAAAATAGCCACCCTTTGCTCTGATTACTGCTTTGCACACTCTTGGCATTCTCTCCATGAGCTTCAAGAGTTAGTCACCTGAAATGGTTTCCACTTCACAGGTGTGCCTTATCAGGGTTAATTAGTGGAATTTCTTGCTTTATCAATTGGGTTGGGACCATCAGTTGTGTTGTGCAGAAGTCAGGTTAATACACAGCCGACAGCCCTATTGGACAACTGTTAAAATTCATATTATGGCAAGAACCAATCAGCTAACTAAAGAAAAACGAGTGGCCATCATTACTTTAAGAAATGAAGGTCAGTCAGTCCGGAAAATTGCAAAAACTTTAAATGTGTCCCCAAGTGGAGTCGCAAAAACCATCAAGCGCTACAACCAAACTGGCACACATGAGGACCGACCCAGGAAAGGAAGACCAAGAGTCACCTCTGCTTCTGAGGATAAGTTCATCTGAGTCACCAGCCTCAGAAATGGCAAGTTAACAGCAGCTCAGATCAGAGACCAGATGAATGCCACACAGAGTTCTAGCAGCAGACCCATCTCTAGAACAACTGTTAAGAGGAGACTGCGCCAATCAGGCCTTCATGGTCAAATAGCTGCTAGGAAACCACTGCTAAGGAGAGGCAACAAGCAGAAGAGATTTGTTTGGGCCAAGAAACACAAGGAATGGACATTAGACCAGTGGAAATCTGTGCTTTGGTCTGATGAGTCCAAATTTGAGATCTTTGGTTCCAACCGCCGTTTCTTTGTGAGACGCAGAAAAGGTGAACGGATGGATTCCACATGCCTGGTTCCCTCTGTGAAGCATGGAGGAGGAGGTGTGATGGTGTGGGGGTGTTTTGCTGGTGACACTGTTGGGGATTTATTCAAAATTGAAGGTACACTGAACCAGCATGGCTACCACAGCATCCTGCAGCGACATGCCATCCCATCCGGTTTGCGTTTAGTTTGACTATCATTTATTTTTCAACAGGACAATGACCCCAAACACACCTCCAGGCTGTGTAAGGGCTATTTGACCAAGAAGGAGAGTGATGGAGTGCTGCGGCAGATGACCTGGCCTCCACAGTCACCGGACCTGAACCCAATCGAGATGGTTTGGGGTGAGCTGGACCGCAGAGTGAAGGCAAAGGGGCCAACAAGTGCTAAACACCTCTGGGAACTCCTTCAAGACTGTTGGAAAACCATTTCAGGTGACTACCTCTTGAAGCTCATGGAGAGAATGCCAAGAGTGTGCAAAGCAGTAATCAGAGCAAAGGGTGGCTATTTTGAAGAAACTAGAATATAAAACATGTTTTCAGTTATTTCACCTTTTTTTGTTAAGTACATAACTCCACATGTGTTCATTCATAGTTTTGATGCCTTCAGTGAGAATCTACAATGTAAATAGTCATGAAAATAAAGAAAACGCATTGAATGAGAAGGTGTGTCCAAACTTTTGGCCTGTACTGTATGTGTAACTTTAAACCATAATAAAATGTAAATGGGTGAGTTATATAAAAATTCACCCTCCATACAGTTGTCATGAATGTTGAAATTAGCTGTAGACCTAAACCTTTTTTGAACCAGGCTGTAAACATTTATTTCTGCTGTAAATTGGGATTGACTGGCTTCTGGAGCCGGCCTCAAGTGGCCAAATTCTGCTCCGTATTCAAATGAAAGACACGATACAGCCAAAGCTTATTATGAAACAAAGTGTATTTAGCTGTCCAGTCATTTTAAAACAACAGTTTCCCCAATTGCTTATGTGTGCATTCATGTATGTGCATAACAAGTCCTTCTGTGAGCACATGCTGTGTGTTAATGTTGCTCCCTGTTCAACAGCCAACTGTACCTCTGCAAGAAGCAGCCAACAGTGCTATTTTTATGTACAGTATAGTAATCAAAGTCTTACTAACTCTGACTCACTCTGTTATTATATGGAAATAAATGTTGGACTTTGGATAAGTGGCATAACCTACATATTTCATCACGGTAGCCATGGACTTTGACCCCGCAGTGACGTCTCGTAACTTACCTAACTGAAGAGGATTCAACTTTCACCTACATATCCATGTCACTGGTGCAAAAACCCTCCACATCGCATTCACAAATGCTGTGCAGGTTAATAAGATCATAAACAAGAAATCAATAATTGTTTAAATTCATTTTATGAACAATGCAGACAAATGCCGAAATGTCACACTATGCACTGTAAATAAGCACAAAGACTCATTAATCCACTTAAAGTTGACTTTTTGGTTTACTCCTTTCTTGTTTTGTTGATAAAAAGATAAAACAGAGAAAAACACAGAATTTAGCACACTCACCAGTGTTTACTTGTCCTGTTTTTGAGCTGCTCCGTCCTGACTTGCAGCACAAACATTGATGTGTAAACTGTTGATTGTCAAACATCCAAAACCAGCCTTCATAATCAATGCTCCATGAGCTGCTCCAAAACTGGATACACTGAATTCTTACACAATTTTAAAACATACAAAACATTAAAAACCCACTTCCAATCTTGCACAACGCTTAAAAAGCCACAACAGGCACGGTGGGTCAAACAAGTGACCCCGTTGTAAACATTCGTACAATTCTGGTTCTTGGCAAAGTGGGGCTTTGACGTAAAAACGAAATCCGGCCACCTTTCTTATCTAGCTGTGGACACACAAACTTGAACTTGTTGAACCTTTTTAGGTCTCTCTGATAAACTTCTGCCTAGTTTTCATATTTTTCTTCAGATTAAGAGCACAAAGGCCTTGATGAGTCTTTCTTTATCATTATTATGACAGTATTCTTATCTTACTGCAGCATATTGTACTGGTTTATACATGTTTAAATCATATGTGACAAATAAAACTGATCTATCCTATTTTTCACCATAGTACTTTCTTCTGTTAACACACTATCTTAAAGTGCTGTATCCTTATTGACATGACTGCATGTCCTTGAATCAATGCTGCGAGAATGTTGTTACGTTTTATGAAGGTTCAACAGTGGGCGCTGTTAACATGGTCTCTGTATGTGTGTGTGTGTGGGTGTGTGTGCATGTGTGTGTATATTATGCATGTTGTGTTCTGTCATCAGTGTGACCCTCCACGTGTTGACTGTTGACACAGGCAGAGTTTGGGCAGCTGCTCTGATAACAAGGACCTTTATAAGTCAGATGAGAGGAGAAGTCTCTCTGCAGACCCCTGATCCTCAGGTAAAGGCCAGCCACTTCTCCACGTATTGATCTTCTTCTTGTTTTCCGTCTTAGACTGAGAAGGGAATGCATGTCAAAGGAATAATATGTCATTTATTAATTTGGAAATATTCAGTATTGATTCATTTGTTTGGTCTAATGTGAAATTCTTATGTATTTCTTTTCATCTGTCGCTCCGCAGAACGGTAATCATGCATCTAAAAGTCGTGATCTTCGCCCTGTCATTCTTGACAACTTCAGGTATAGATTCCTCCTTAAATGTGGTTTAATACCCTTTATTTTGCAACATATTTCCTTTTTTTCATTAATGTTTTCTTCGTCTGTAGCATACCCACTCCAGCGTAACACCAGGGAGGCAACCTGGATTGATTCAAAGGCCAACCAGGCTCATGACAAGACAGAGCTCACAAAGGATGTGGAGTAAGTATTGTAAACTCTTTTAAGACCTGAATGTGCATCCATCCACCCAAGAGAAACAATATCAAAACACATTTTAGTGGAGTGCTGCTTTCTCTCTTTGCTCAGTAAAATCTACAAGAGCCACATCGACAGCAGTGACCTTTACGACACAGACGATCACAGCACAAACCCTGTGGCGGTGGAGATGCAACACAAACTCAACATGGAGTCAGAGCGCCTGCGTACCCGTCTGCGCCAAGAGCTGACCGAGCTGCGGGAGAGGTTGTCTCCATCGCCAGCCCACCTCAGCTCCACCTTGGCCAGCATGAGAGAGCGCTTGGCTCCCCTTACCCAGCAGCTCCAGAGCTCTCTCAGCAGCAACACTCAAGACCTGTGTGGCCAGCTGAGCCTCTATCTGCAGGGGCTGGAGACAGCAGAGGCTCAGGCAGAGGCCAGTCCTGCTCTGTACCAAGAAGCCTTCAAATGGATGAGCCAGACGCTGGAGCACAGCAGCTCCAAGGTGGCTGACCTCATCAGCGACTTCCACACTAAAACCATCGGGGTGATCGAACATCTGAAAGAGATCAGTGCTAGTGAACAAGAGGCAGCCAAGTCTGAGCTCTGGCAGGACATAAGCTCTAAGTTGGGACAGGAAGTGAGCTCTCTGAGGGGGGAGGCACAGAATAGGGTAGGGGCTCTCAAAGCAGAGCTTGCTGCTCTGCTGGAAGCTGCATGGCCAGGTGCGGCAGAAGTGATGGCCAGTATGGAGCGATTTTGCCAAAATGCAGCTCTGCAAAGCCAAGTGTTTCAGGCCCAGATGGAGAGGCTGTTTCAGGGGCTGGAAGACAAACTGGAAATCCAGGGAGACTTTCTTCTGTCTTCTTCTTCCTCCTCCTCGTCCATGCAGCCAGGTGGCTCTTTGCAGGAGGACTTCTCAGCTAAACTCTCTGCTCTGATCCAAGACATTCTGCACTCAGTGTAGTGTCAAAGACAGGGGTTCATTTGTACAAGAAACTACCAAATAACTGCTGTCATGACCCTTTAGAGTGGATCATTTGAGTTGTATTCTTGTCCATGCATTTGTTGTTTGCCACTGTACTCACAGAGTAAGTAGCCTGTAAATATTTATGAGTGTTTGGTTTTGATTTATGTTTCATTCTGTCTGTGAATAAGTGTGTAAATGTAAAAAGTATGCATTCACTGAGCCCTGTAAAAAGATGTTGCTTGTGGTGAGTAAAGTTATTGATGATACAAATTGTTGTTTCTTAATTATATAACAACAGAGTACAATGCCAAGCAAATTTTAAACTTGATTTTTATTATGTACAAACCAGATCTGAATAATAAACTACAGATTATAACTATATTATGCGCTCAAAAATATATCTTAAGTGCTATCAGCAATGAGATTCTGTACATGATACCCAAAAACCAGTAAGACTGTCAGTGGGCAGACTTGCAGGTCATTATCAGAGCAGATTTAAAACAACATGAAATATTAAAATGACTCTGCTCTTCAAAAGCTTACATAGTTAAAGTTTCTTTTTTTACACATAGCTCAGGTTTGACTGTTCCTTCATAACCGATAAATGAAATCTGAGTGCAGATTAATCAAGTATAGACCGAAGAGGTTACATAAGATATAAGCGTATTTGCTTGGTTTCCAGGGTTTCCTGACAAATCACAACATTATCAGATGTAATGTTCTCGCAACAACCATACAGTTGCAATATGGTATGAGGCAACAAGGTGAAGACATTCGGCAGTTGATCCGTCAGTCAAAGGCGTGAGGTAATCCTCCCGACCAGTAAAACTTCTTCACGGCAAACCAGCCACCCAGAACCAGCATGACAGCAGCAGCCGAGCCAAACACCACCCCCACCACCAGGCCTGGCATGTTCACGTCATCCCTCTCTGATGCCATGTTATTACCTGATACACGTAGGGGAGATTAATTTAGATTCGTTTTTCTTCAAGATATTAAAATGTATTTCTAATGAGGAGTGTGATCAAAATATACTCACTGTAGGCAGCAGCATTTGGTCTGTCTTTAATAGAGGAAGATAAGAAAGAGAGTCAGTGAAAAAGTTTTTATTGTAGTTCACTACAGCAGTGTTTTTACTGCATCTTACCTTCTCCAGCAGTGTAAAGAGGTCCAACTGTAACAGTGGCAGAGTCGTTGCCTTCCTCTCCAAAAGGAGTCACAGATCTTTTTCTTCTTTTTTGGTTATTACAACCCTGAAAATAACAAACATCCTGTCAGGTTTGGTTTGATTTATATATTTATATGATGTAAAACTCTTGCTTTTCAATACACGTTTTATGTGTAAGAAATAATGTGTGCTTTACTTGTTATATTTTATGATAGAATAAGAAATCATAATGGTGATTGTCATTTAAGGTGCAACTATGAACCACAGTGTCCCCAGAACAGATCTGTTCAAGGACCTGTGTTGCATGTTGTTTCAAACCTTCCTCTCTACATTTCCTGTTACCTCTCTATACTGTCAGCAATCTAATGAGGCAATAAATGTTGCAACGATGCTGTTTCTCCACAGTTTGCAGCAATGCAATGTCTAAGTCTAAACTGTAGATTTCTATTTTTATCAATGTTTGTCCTAAGAAACATTGCCGTGGGTTATTTTTGAAAGTTGCTTTGGCATTACTTTCTCAAACGTATTTAAAGGAGCAATGTAAGATTTAGGGAGATTTAGTGACATCTAGTGGTAAGGATTGCAGATTGCAACAAGCTTAAACTTCTCCCGGTTACGGCCTATTTCCACCAGATGCGTGTTGGTTGCAGCTCCGCTCCGGCATGGCAGTGGAGCCAATAGGATTCAATTCTAGTCAATGTGTGTGTTTCCACCGGCTGCGGCTGTGCTGCATTCCGGCTCCATCACAGCTCCGGCAGTCCGGAGCCCTCCGCAACAGATATGCAGGACTTCTATTTTTGCTGGACGCCGGAGCACAACGCAACAATTCAGCACAGAGCAGGGGCAGGAAGTCGTGCACAGAAACACGATAAAACGTCGGTTAATTTTCAAAACAAAACACACAGTGTTCACACGGATCATATTTCCCTGCACTACACCTTGAAAACTACATAATGGGCAGAGGCAGGCCTGAAGTCAACAGGTCAGAGGTTTTCAGACGTCATTTCACCCCGTTAACACCATGGATGATGAGATGTTAATCACGGCAGTGCACAGAGATGTCTTCCGGCGCAGCTGCACTGCTCCGCACAGCAAACGCAGCCAGTGGGTATTGACGGACGGCGGCGCACGCAGCGGATAACCAGCACTGCCGTTCCGCAACGGACACGCATCCAGTGGAAATCTAGTGTTAGAATTCCTTCAGTGTTCATTGTTCAGGAGGTTTTCACAAGAGGCTACTACTCTCCAAAACAAACTAATCAGGTAATGAAACCCCATAAAATTACCCAATAAAGCAGTTGCACATTACAAATCAGTGTTTCTTCAACACCGTTTAGCACATTGCAGAGAGGCAATTTTTCTCTGATAACTTAAGATCCAGACAGAGGTTTTTATCGGGAGGCAAATTATCTCCAGAGGTTTCTTCCTCTCTAAAACAAATGGATCTGGTGATTTAAACCAGTAAAAACATTGAATAAAATAGTTTCTCATTCCAACACTGCAGTCGTAGAGGAGCTGCTAACTACAGTGGCTGATGTGAAAACCTAAATCGCCCTATCTAGAGCCAGTGTTTGGTTTGTCCATTCTGGGCCACTGTAGAAACATGATGGTGCAACATGGCAGACTTCGTGGACAAGGACCCACCCCCTATGTAGATATAACTGTTTCTTTCCAAGGTAAAGAAAATACAACAATTCATATTTCCAGGTGATTATACACTAGAGAAAACATACTTATTATATTATAATATATTAATATATTATGAATATTTTCTGCCATAATATATCCCCCTAAATCCTACACACTGGACCTCTAAAACAGACTCATTTGTTCTTGACTTTTCAACTTACAGCGAGCAGCTCTTGACATTTGCTGGGCTCACAGAGTCTCAGTATGCAGTGTAGATAGATGACGGACTTGGCCTGGTCGCGGTGCTGAACAAAGCGGAAGGCGTCGAAGTAAAACTGGGCAATCTTGGAAACGCCATTACTTGTCACATATGTCCTTTGTTCCACATTACAGCTGGAGGAGAGCAGAATTTTAGAAAGTGAAGTTAAAGTTATAATATTTCCCCGATGTACGAAGCTACGCTAATAATGTGTGCGTCCATACCCGGTGAAGAAGTTGTGCTTCTCAGTGTGTGATACGTTGTAAGGGGTAGGAGTGGCAAAGCAGTGATCCAGCAGTACGTAAAAACTAAAAAGAGGACAATAAGTTACAGTTTAGAAAACACTCACTTTCATTTCAATATTGTTTTCAGTTATGCACATTCACTATGAGCATCCACTAATCCAAACGGACTTTTACATACTTTCCTGTGAGGTTAACAGCCTTGACCTCCACATAGATCTTGGTTCGTAGCTCAAGTCCTGTTGAAGGAACCTCTAACGGGTGGGTATAGTCAGAGTCCTGGAGAAACAAGACGTCAGGGCGAAATAAGTCAAGAAAAATAGCTCTACAGTGTAGTGTGTCTCTGGCTGCCAACTTACATTGAAAACCTTCATTTGCAGTGTGTCAATAAAGGTTCCATTATTAGTGCCAGTCGCCACGGAAACTGAAGAGCTAAAAAATCATGGAAAACAGGATGCACATGTAATGTGTTGCCTCAGACAAGATGCAAAAGGGTACATTTACAACTAAATAATCATCACAGACAAATCTTTTTTGCACAATGTAGGTTTTTATTAAGATGAACTGTTACTCACGCCACAATCTTTGTATTGTTGATGAGGTACTCCAGCGGGTAGCGGCAAGAGAAATGGTAGTAGAGGTCTGTGGAGTAGCTGATCATCCCCTGGTCAGATCTGGGTGTGTCAATGTACCCAGTGATGATGACTGACTGGATACTTGAGAAGCTGCTGAAGGGACCTGTGGGATCTGGGTTCTCATCCACAATCTGAACAAGACAACACAAAAAAAACACATGAGCTTACTCTATATTGCCACATAATAACTCTAAATAAAGTTTATCTGAATCCCTGTTGCAGTAAAATCCCTGGAACTATTTGTCTAGTATTTCAACATCATTCAACATCCTCTGACCTGCAGAGACTGGCGGCAGGGGTTATCCAGACTGTGGTTAACAGGAAGCTTGTAACGGATGATTGGAGGGTCCACGCTGGTGTCAGCAGAGCCCTGGCAGTCTGTATTGTTGTGTTCCCCGTTCAGAGCCAGGTCAGTGGTGTTGAAGCCTGCCCACTGAGCCGTGCACAGGTTGATCTCCAACGTGATCATCGTGGTGCCACAGTCAATTGTCATGTCTGAGCTGTCTGTAAGAGACGGGAAAAGAGAAGCCAAGGAGGAGATTTTAACATTGTGAGAGTTTTTTTCCTATTGGATTCAAAGGGAAAATTAATATGATGATCCAGTTGCTGCTGCAGAGACACAGATAAGAAAAGTTTCTAACATTAAAGCTACAATTGGTAACTTTTATGCCTTCTCCCTTCTTGTCATATTTGCTGAAACTGTCACTGTATTCTAAAAGAAATACATAATATAGACAGTCTGTGAAAAAAATCATTTTCCTCCTCCTCTTTCTACTGTTTCTAATGGCATTTGTGAGAATCTACCAATCTAACCTATCAGAGCCAAGAAGTCTTTGACGCAGCTGTCAATTATGTCAATTACAGCTTGTGAACTGTCAAACTAAGCAGCGCTGATCAAATATGAGTCAAGATTCTGCCTATTTTTCACCTCAAAGGTTCTTTTGAAATAAATTTTAGTGCACTGTTTAGCTGTAAAATAAGAAAGTTGGTCCGGCCACTGTGTTGAAACCACCAGCCTAACAAACTTTCTCATTTTACAGATAAACAGTACACAAAAATATGTTTCTGAAAACATCATTGCTGCCTAGTTTGACAGTGTGAGCGCAGTTCACATGCACTGATTGGCATGACTGATAGCTGCATTAGAAACTCCTGGGCTCAGATTGGTCGTTTTTGTTCATGTGCGGAAAGGTCATTAGAATTGCTGTGTTTCAGCAAGTATGACAAAAGGATACTTCTCACAAACGTTACCAGCTACAACCTTCATTAGAGGAAAAAAGTCATTTTCTCAATTTGTATTTGTCACCAAATACCCTCTGCTCTGATTTGTGCA